GGTTGTCCGGCCACTTCCGCTTGAGACCTTCTCGCAACTCTGGGCTCCGGGGCTCCCTGAGCTGAGGTGTTCTGGCCACTTTCGCTAGAAGCATCCTCGCAACTCTGGACTCCGAGATGCCCTGCCGCAGAGTAGTCCGCCACTTTCACCTGAGACATCCTCGCAACTTTGGATTCAGGGATGCCCTGAGCTGAGGTGTTCAGGCCATTTTCGTTTGAGACATCCTCGCAATTCCGGGTTCTGGTATGTCCTCAGCTGAGGTGGTCAGTTCACTTTCGCATGAAACATCTTCGCAACGCTGACATCGGAGATGCACTGGCCCGTAGTTGTCTGGCTACTTTCGCCTGAGACCCTCGCACCTCTGAGTTGCGAGATGCCCTGAGCAGGCGGTCAGGCCATTACCGCCTGAGATGCGCATGTGTATGCGCACCCATAATTACATCTAGGTGCGTGCACCAACAAACACCTGCGATTGACTGGTCAGTTGACATATACATATGCGTACCTATGCGACCACCCTTCGGGTGATAAGGAGGTGAGGGGGGGGAGGGACCAACGTCGCACTCGATCGATCTCACTATCCAATTCACTACCGATCTCACAATCGATCTCAATCGATCGATCTGACAATCGATCTGATTATCGATCTCACAATCGATCTCACAATCGATCTCACATTCGGTCTCGCTGTGGATCTCACAATCGATACCACAATCGATTTGTTCAATCGATCTCACATTCGATCTGACTATCGATCTCACATTCGGTCTCACTATCGATCTCATTATCGATCTCACATTCGGTCTCACCATCGATCTCACGATCGGTATCACAAGCGATCTCACAATCGATCTCGCATTCGGTATCACTATCGATCTCACTATCGAACGCACTTTCGGTATCATTATCGATCTCACATTCGGTCTCACTATCGATATCACTATCGATATCACAACCAATCTCACAATCGATCTCACATTCGGTCCCATCATCGATCTCACTATCAAACTCACTATCGATCTCATTATCGATCTCAATCGATCGATCTCACAATCGATCTGACTATCGATCTCACAATCGATCTCACAATAGATCCCACAATCGATCTTATATTCGGTTTCACGATTTGTCTCACTATCGATATCACCATCGATATCACAAACGATCTCCCATTCTGTCTCACAATCGATCTCACTACCGATACCACTATCGATCTCACTATCGATATCACAACCAATATCACAATCGATCTGACACTCGGTTTCACATTCGATCTCACAACCGATATCACTATCGATCTCACTATCCGTCTCACATTCGACCTCACTATCGATCGCACAATCGATCCGCAACACCATCAACAGCATCATCGGGACACCATCAACACCGTCATCATCATCATCATCATCATCAGCACCATCATCATCAACATCATCATCATCGGGACACCGACGGGGCACCGACGGGACACGGGCGGGACACCGCGGGCCCCCGGCCGCCCGGAAGGGAGACATTTGGTCCGGCCGCGCCTCAGCCACACGGGACACCAGCGGGACACCGGCGGGACACCGCGGGGCCCCGGCCGCCTGGAAGGGAATCATTCGGTCCGGCCGCGCCTCAGCCACACGGGACACCAGCGGGACACCGGCGGGACACCGCGGGCCACCGGCCGCCCGGAAGGGAATCATTTGGTCCGGCCGCGCCTCAGCCACAGGAGACTTTCTCTCGCCCGCCCACGCAGCTTCGCCTCGCCCGCACGGCACGCACGAACACGAAACCGAAATCGATTTCCCGGTAGGGGGGCTCTCCGCTCCACTTCGATCTCACCCCCTCACCTCCGACACATGTTTATATGTAGTATGTACCTATACGACCACCCTTCGGGTGATAAGGAGGTGAGGGGGGGGGAAGGGACCAACGTCGCATTCGATCGATCTTACTATCGAACTCAATACCGATCTCACAATCGATCTCAATCGATCGATCTGACAATCGATCTGATTATCGATCTCACAATCGATCTCACAATCGATCTCACATTCGGTCTCGCTATTGATCCCACAATCGATCTCACAATCGATCTCACAATCGATCTCACATTCGATCTGACTATCGATCTATGTATCGAACTCACTTTGGATCTCACTATCGATCGTACATTCGGTCTCACTACCTATCCCACTATCGATATCACAACCGATATCACAATCGATCTCACATTCGGTCTCACCATCGATCTCACTATCGAACTCACTATCGATCTCATTATCAATCTCAATCGATCGATCTCACAATCGATCTGACGATCGATCTCAAAATCGATCTCACAATAGATCCCACTATCGATCTCACATTCAGTCTCACTGTCGATATCACTATCGATATCACAATCGCTCTCACAATCGATCTCCCATTCGGTCTCACAGTCGATATCACTACCAATACCACTATCGATCTCACAATCGATCCCACAATCGATCTGACATTCGGTCTCACGCTCGATCTCACAATCGATATCACTATCGATTTCACTATTCATTATTGATCTCACATTCGACCTCACTATCGATCTCAGTATCGACCATCACAATAAAACACCAACATCATCATCACCATCATCATCAACAGCATCAACATCAACATCATCATCATCATCATCCTCATCATCATCATGATCGGGTCACCGACGGGACACCGGCGGGACACCGCAGGGCCCCGGCCGCCCGGAAGGGAGACATTTGGTCCGGCCGCGCCTCAGCCACACGGGACACCAGCGGGACACCGCCGGGACACCGCGGGGCCCCGGCCGCCCGGAAGGGAGACATTTGGACCGGCCGCGCCTCAGCCACAGGAGACTTTCTCTCGCCCGCCCACGCAGCTTCGCCTCGCCCGCACGCACGGCACGCACGAACACGAAACCGAAATCGATTTCCCGGTATGGGGGCTCTCCGATCCACTTCGATCTCACCCCCCACCTCCGATACACAGATACAACAGTATACATATGTGGTATACACATCGGTATATGAGCACAGCGTGCATGCGTGCATGCGCGTGCGCGTGTATACATGCATGCGCGCATGTACGCACGCACGCACCCCGCTTGCGCGCGAAACTCAGTGGACCAATGTGCATGCCGCGCAGCGCCAATGCAGCCTTGTATATATATATATATGTATATATATATATATATATATAATATATATATATATATACATATATATATACATACATGTATATAAATCGGGGGTGAGGGGGTGAGATCGAAGTGGAACGGAGAGCCGCCCTACCGGTAAGTCGGTTTCGGTTTCGTGTTCGTGCGTGCCGTGCGTGCGGGCGAGGCGAAGCTGCGTGGGCGGGCGAGAAGAAAGTCTCCTCCGGCTGAGGCGCGGCCGGACCAAATGATTCCTTTCCAGGGGCCGGTCGCCCGCGGTGTCCCGCCGGTGTCCCGCCTCCAGCTGAGGCGCGGCCGGACCAAATGATTTCTTTCCAGGGGCCGGTGGCCCGCGGTGTCCCGCCGGTGTCCCGCCAGTGCCCCGTCGGTGTCCCGATGATGATGTCGATGATGTTGATGTTGATGATGATGATGATGCTGATGATGATGTGATGGCGATGGTGATGGTGGTGGTGATGATGATGGTGTCCCGATGATGATGATGATGTTGACGATGTTGGTGATGATGATGATGATGTTGATGATGATGGTGATGGTGGTGATGATGATGGTGTCCCGATGATGATGCTGTTGATGATGATGATGTTGCTGATGATGATAATGGTGTCCCAATGATGATTGTGATGAAGATGATCCTGCTGATGTTGGTGATGATGAGATAATGATGAGATGATGATGACGGTGTCCCGATGAACATGATGAGGTTGATGATGATGCTGCTGATGATGATGGTGATGATGATGATGATGATGTTTCGATGGTGATGATGATGTTGATGATGATGGTGACGATGATTGTGTCCCGATGATTATGTTTTTGATGATGATGATGATGGTGATGAGGTGATGATGATGATTGATGATGGTGGCCCCATGATGGTGATGATAATGCTGATGTTGATGATGGTGATGGTGCCCCAATGAAGATGATGATGATGGTGATGATAATGATGGTTACGATGATGATGGTGGCCCGATGATGACGATGTTGCTCATGATGATGATGATGTTGCTGATGATGATGCTGATGATGATGGTGTCTCGATGATGATGAGGTTGAGGATGTTGCTCATGATGGTGATGATGAAATGATGATGATGATGATGATGATGATGATGATGATGATGGTGGTGTTCCGATGATGCTGATGATGATGGTGTCCCGATGATAATGACGTTGATGATGGAGATAATGGTGACGATGATGGTGACCCGATGATGATGATGATGATGATGATGATGATGGTCATGTGATGATAACGATGTCCCGATGATGATGATGTTGATGACGTTGATGACGATGATGTTGATGATGATGACGTTGATTGTGAGATCGATTGTGATATCGATAGTGAGGTCGATAGTGAGACCGAATGTGAGATCGATTGTGAGATCGATAGTGCGATCGATAGTGAGATGGATTGTGAGCTCGATTGTCAGATCGATCGTGATATCGATCGAATGAAATAAATCGAGTAAGATCGATTGTGAGATCGATCGAGTGAGATAGATCGAGCGAGACCGATAGTGAGATCGATAGTGAGATCGATAGTGAGACCGATCGAGTGAGACGTTGGTTCCCCCCCCCGAACCTCCTTACCACCCGAAGGGTGGTCGTATAGGTAGAGAGAGAGAGAGAGAGAAAGGACGACTGGAGGAGGGCCGGAGCAGGGAAGGGCCGGAAGGGGGAGAAAGGAGCGAAAGGGGCGGCCCGCGGCGGCAGGGGGGAGACGTGTAAGGGCGGCCCGGCATAGGCGATGACGACGGCGACGATGGTGGTGAGGTCGGACGGGTGCCGAGCGCAACCAGTCTGACCTAGGCAGGCGATCAAGTGTCGCCGCTCTCCACGGTGGTTCCCCGCTGCCTCCCGTCGACCACCTCTTCCTCGGGGGCAGAGGGGCGATGGGGGATGAGGGACTACGTAAGAGAGAGCAGAGGAGGGGGAAAGGGTTTGGAGGTGGGGGGAGAGAAAGGGCAGGCGGTGGAGGAGGACGAGCCAGAGAAGCACAGGGACCAGAGATGGACGAGGGGCCACAGGGGCGATCAGGGCAGGAGGTGGCCGAGAGTTGGCGAGAGGACGAGGCCGAGAGGGCAGGAGGGGAGCGACGGCGCAGGGGGACGAGGATAGGGGAACAAAAAGTGACACAAACATAAAACTTCGGAGGTCCGCGCGGATTTCTCGAATCGGCGCTGGACCCCCCTCCCTGGCGCGCGGAGCGCGCCGGGGGCGGCGCCGGAGGCGCCGCCAGGGGGGGTCCAGCGCGGATCCGAGAAATCCGCGCGGACCTCCGAATTGTTATGTTTATGCAACTGCTCGTTTCCCTAGAGGAGCGCCGGGAGAAGGAGGACAAGGGTGAAGGGGCCCCAGGACACACAAATAAATACACACAAATAAAAATATTCCCCATATTTTCCCATATTTTCTTGGTTTTTGTCTTCCCCCCCACTTCCCATATTTTTGCATATTTTCCTGGGGGTCGACGATTAATTGTGTCTGTGTGTTTTTTCCCCTCCTGAAAGGGGGGGGACTGAGAAGGGCTGCCCGGGAGGCGGGCGGGGGGAGAGGAGCAGGACGGGGAGGCTGCGGCAGGCGGCGAGGGGCAGCGAGGAGCCCGAGAGCGGGCCCCGTCGCGGCACGGCCGGCCCCCACGGCGGGGCGGTCCGCGCGCGAGGGGGCCCCCCCGCGCGGCTCGCGCGCGCGCGGCGCCCGCGGCTCGCGCGCGCGGCGCCCGCGCGGACCGCTGCCAGCTGCGAGGCCCCCCCCCCCCCGCGGCCCGCGAAGGCCACGCCCCGCAGACGCGATCGCGCGGAAGCCAAACATCAGGGCGCGAGGTTTCTGGCAGGTGCTGGGGCCTCCTGGGTGGGGTCCGAGGACAGTCTCAACCAGTGCAGTACGGATGCGCGATAGGAGGATGCAAGGGCCGCGGACGCCCACTTCGAAGCTTCTCGAGCGGGGCGCGGCCAGCGAAAGCGGCGAAGGATGGACCGAGGAGGCAAGGATGCAAGGGAACCCTTGGGAAGGTTGCGCATCCGTACTATCATGGTTGACTGTAGATGGGGTCGGAGGATCGCGCCGCATCGCCGATGCAGCACCGATACATCGACGATGCATCGGCAATGAATCAGCGACGTCGGCGGTGCCTCGGCGACACCGTCGTGGAGACCATCGGGCTCCACATCGAGCCGCATCGCCGATGTATCGGCGATATATCGGCGATGCATCGGCGATGCGGCGCGATCCTCCGACCCCATATACTCGGACCCCATCTAGGAGGCCTAGACATGTTCGGCCTCGGGGGGCCCTCGCCGGGCCCCGGGGCCGTAAGAGGACGACTCAGGATGAGAACCTGGTCCTGGGGAAAGGGCCGGGACTTCCAGAGATTGCGCATTGAAGAAATCCGGACGTCGCATGTCTGGGCCTGGAGATCCAGCGGCCCCCTGTGATCGGCCTCGGCGGCTGGCGCGCTCCGGCTGCTCGGCTGGCCAACGCCCAACAGCAGCGCAGTGCGGAAGGTGTGAATGGCGCAGCGACGTTGGCACCACGGGCCGATCTGGCCGATCGCCCCTGGCGCGCGGCCCTGGATCGGCGACCGCTCGCCCGGCCTGCGGGCCGCAGCCCCTGACCCACACCGAGGGGGAGGAGGAGGAGGAGGAGGAGGAGGAGGAGGAGGGAGGAGAGGAGGAGGAGGAGGAGGAGGAGGAAAAGGAGGAGGAGCAGGAGGGAGGAGGGGAGGAGAGGAGGAGGGAGGAGGAGGAGGAGGAGGAGGAGGAGGAGGAGAAGGCGGGGGAGGAGGCGGGGGAGGAGGAGGAGGAGGAGGAGGAGGAGGAGGAGGAGGAGGAGGAGGAGGAGGAGGAGGAGGAGGAGGAGAGGAGGGGGCCCCGAGGGCTGGGGCCCCGAGGGCGACAGCCTCGAGCAGTGCAGGCTCACCTCGGGGCCCCCTTCCTATCGGAGGAGGGCCCCTCGAGACAGCGGGGCCCGGCGCAGATCCGGGGAACTCTGCGCGGAGCTGCGACTGGCCATCGCTCGGCCGTCCACTCCCTGTGCTTTTTTTGTTCTCGGTTTCGTGCGTGGCTTTTTCGCCAAAGGATCAAGGATGCTCTTCGATGGTCCTCGCCGGAGGAAAAACGCACACGTCCGAGCGATGCCAAGTCCTATCGGAGGAGGGCCCCTTGAGACAGCGGGGCCCGGCGCAGATCCAGGAAGTCTGCGCGGAGCTGCGAGAACGTACGTTGGCGTTTTTTCTCCCTCGGATGCCCTTCACCTCTGCAGATGCCGCCGAACACATGATTAGGGAAACGATGAATCGAGAAACCTGGGCCAGCTTCCCAGCAGCCTCTTCAAACAAAACAAGCCCGGGCCAACGTTTTGTCGTTCCTGCTGCAGGGGCGAGCGCGTTCGAGAAGCTGGGCCGCCTGTCCAGCAGACTGGTCCAGGAACGCCAGCCCAGCGTCTCGGCAGGAGGTCTCTTATGTATGAACGCATTGAAACCGCCCCCCGCCCCCTGCATGAGGAACTTTGGACCAACTAGACCGCGCGCACGCCTCCCCCCCGCTGGCGGCAGCTGGCAATGGCCTCGCTCACAGGGTGTCTGCACTTATGATTACCTGCCAGACCACCCCAACCCAACCCGAAGACCCGAATTTGACCCGAATTTCGGGTTTGGGGGGGGTACGGGTTCCATGTGCTTTTGTCAACGTTCCCCGATCCCCCCCACACACACTGCAAATGGAGGGCAAATTGAGGGCTTCGGGTTGGGTCGGGGTTGGGGTGGTTTGGTGGGTGGTGAACTTACGCACACTCGCCAGATGTGCAAAAGGTTGACATGTAAAATCCACTGTTGTACTACAAGATGTGAAAGGGATATGTTTTCAACTCTGCTGTTAGGCTCCCCAGGGCTTGCCGAACCTGGGAGCAGACTTGTGCGGTTTAGCGCCTTGAGCCTAAACAGCTCCAGATGCCACGTGCGGACGTCGGTTCCCTGGTTGTCCGTTTCGTCGGACGTTGGTTCCCCAAGTGTCCGTTGCACGTCCGTCGGTTTTCCCAGACGTGCGAAGATACAACGCACTGCAAAGTTGTATAATACTGCTTGCCCCCAGCTTCTTTCGCTGTAGAGCTAAGCAAAGCTGGGGCTGGGGTCGGTTTCCCACCGTTCATCTTGAAGGAGGGGGGGAAGAAAGAGGCTGGAAGGATGAGGAGGAGGAGGAGGCTGGGAGGAGGAGGAGGAGAAGGAGGAGGAGGAGGAGGAGGAGGAGGAGGAGAGAGAGGAGCGACGAGAGAGAGGCGAGGAGTAAGAGGAGGGGAGGGAGGAGAGGAGAGGAGGAGAGGAGGAGAGGAGGGAGGAGGAGGAGAGAAGGAGGAGAGGAGGAAGAGGAGAAGGAAGGAGGAGGAAAGGAAAAGGAGAAGGAGGAGGAAAAGGAAAGAAGGAAAAGGAGGAGGAGAGGAGGAAAAGGAAGAAGGCAGGAAAAGGAAGAAGGAAGAAGGAAAGGGAGGAGGAGGAGCGAACGTCCACTGGCGGGGGAGAGGAGGAGGAGGAGAGGAGGAGAAGGAGGAGGAGGAGGAGGAGAAGGAGGAGAAGGGGGAGGTGGAGGAGGAGGTGGAGGAGGAGGTGTAGGAGGAGGAGGAGGAGGAGGAGGAGGAGGAGGAGGAGGAGGAGGAGGAGGAGGAGTTCTCTTAACCATATGCTCGACCGTAAGGAGGTCCCGCCTGCCAAAGCTTCGCTTCCGGGTCGGGCCCCTTCGGGCCCCACAGCGCGGTTCCTCCCCGTCGATTGTGCGAGGGCCTCGAGGACCTCGGCCGCCTGTGCGGCGTCGGCGCCGCGGGCCCTCCGCGGTCGCCCCTCCCCCCCCCTCCGACGCGGCCCCTCGAGCGCCCCAAGAGCGCCGCGGCCCTCGCAGGGTCTCGGGACCGTCAAAAACGACTCGGGATGAAACAAACCGCGCGCTGAAACAATCAGGACGTCGCATGCTTGGGGAGCGGAGCTCCCTCGACGCGGCCCCTCGAGCGCCCCAAGAGCGCCACGGCGCCGCGAGGGAGGCACTGCGGGCGCGGGGCCCCCTCGACGCGGCCCCTCGGGCGCCCCAAGGGCGCCGCGAGCGATGCTGCGGCGACGTGGCCAAGAGCCACTTGACCACCTGGCTCGGCGGCGAGCTCGGGGGGAAGTGAGAAGGAGGAGGTCTTGTCAGAAGGCTCGGAGGTCCCCTGTCCTTCTGAGACGTTTTCTGTGCCTTCCTCGGAGACGCCCAGGACCTCTCCGAAGGCGCGAGGGCTTCTGAAACGCCCCGCTGCCCTCTCAGAAGGTCTTCCCCTTCTCACTTCCCCCTCTCGCTCGCCGCCCACTGGCCGCCTCCCGTCGTCCTTGGCTCTGGCCTGGCGCAACGCTCGGTGCCCACCCGCACCAGGTCCTGCGCTCGCTCTGCCACGCTCCGCAGCCGCTCTCTGCAGCTCGATCGCCCAGCACGTCGCGGAGAGGATGCCGGGTCCTCCCTGGAGGGTTTCCACCACGCGTGCCTGGGGACTAAGGCGCCAAGGAACGCGTCTGGCCTCTTCCCGTTCGGGTGGCCTTTGAACGGCGCCTTGGCGTACAGTCGGGCCGTGGACACAAGAAACGCAAAATGAGAAACGAAGCCGCCTTTGGGCCCCACAACTGCCTGCGTGCACGCGGACCGCTAGAGAAACAGCCATGGAAGGATCCCGTCGGGTGCCTTCCTTCGCGGTAATCGTTGTCCGCCCTCGCGCACATATACGCCAAGGAGCCGTTCAAAGGCCATCCGAATGTTACGGAACGCATCTGGTTCCTTCCCGTTCGGATGGCCTTTGAACGGCGCCTTGGCGCATGACGCTTCCTTGCGAGCCGCCTTTGAGCGCCCTCGCGCAAAAGTTGTCCGCTATCGCGAGCCTATACTGGTCAGCGGGGAGTGTCCGCAGCCGTTGCGCACACACACACACACAACGATGTTGGCACTCGCCCTGGCCCGCCGCTTTTGCTAATCGGGTGCACGGAGAGCTTCGCCAACGCCGCGATGATCTTCTTAAGGCGGAAAGAGCAGGATAGAAATACTGGGTGAAGATAAATCGAGAATCTCTCAGATCTGGCGGCTCTGGAGGATGTCTCGGGCGCCGCGGCCCTCTCAGAGCGTTCCGGAACGTTCTGGAATGCATTGGGACGGATTTATCTTCGTCCTCGCCCCGTCCGACTGCTGCCACCCGATAAGACTGGTAAGCGGACGGTGCGCACGCAACGGTGCAGTGCAATCGTGAAAGGTGGACATAAGAGATCGTGAGGGAGCGCTGGCCACCGTGCGCGTTCACACGATGGCAGCCTGGACAGCCGGACCATCCATGTCCAGTGGTCCATTGGGGCCAACGACTAGTAGGTCCGCAAGGGCCACCATTGGCACTTCCTCAAAGGATTCGTGTGGTCATCCTTCTCCTCCTCCTCCTCCTCCTCCTCCTCCTCCTCCTCCTCCTCCTCCCTCTCCCCCTCCTCGTCCTCCTCCTCCTCCTCCTCCTCCTCCTCCTCCTCCTCCTCCTCCTCCTCCTCCTCCTCCTCCTCCCTCTCCCCCTCCTCGTCCACCTCCTCCTCCTCCTCCCCCTCTCCCCCCCCATTCTGCCTTCTGTGCCTCCTATGCCCCTGGCTCCAGGGAGAGCACCCGCACCCCGGCCTCCCGCGACCTCCGCCAGAGATCCCGAGCCGCGCGAAGGCGCTTCCCGCGGGGTCTGCTGGCCCCTCTCGCAACACGACCAGAGCCCGCGCAGGACCCGCGCAGCAGGAGGAGGAGGAGGAGGAGGAGGAGGAGGAGGAGGAGGAGGAGGAGGAGGAGGAGGGGGAGGACGAGAGGAGGAGGAGGAGGAGGAGGAGGAGGAGGAGGAGGAGGAGGACGAGGGAGAGGCCGCCCAAGACCCGCGCAGACCCCGCCCACCGAACCATCGACCACGACTCAACCCGATCGATGGCCTGTGGAGGTCGTGGCAAGCCCCCCGGCCAGCCCCACGCACGACCAACGTCTCTCGCGACAGCATTGGCGGGGCACGGCTGGCAGATAGCTCTGCGCTTCTCGATCATGCCCGCTTCCAGCAGCTTGTCCCCCGTGACATCTTACGTAGACATCTTAAACGTGACATCTTAGACGTGACATCTTAGACGTGACCCCGGCCAGGCCCCGTGGCATCTTAGACGTTACCCCCGTCGGGGACCGCACCTGGTGCGGCAAGCGTGCAACAGCTCCAAGAATCGGGGCGCGCGCAAGCACGGATTGGCGATCCATGGATCTGGCGTGCGGTCGCGAAATCCATGGATCGGGGGATCGGGGGAGGTGCCCTCCCCAAAATGCGACCGGTGCCGCCTCGTCCGCCGGCGGACATCTGCGATTTCCCATGGAGACGGGACCTGTCGCTAATCCACACCCCCTTGATACATGTTTGCGATCGCCTGATCCAAAAACAGATGGGCCTGTTTTCCATCACGACCACCATAGGTTGGAGGGGGGAAGGAGGAGGAAGACGAGCAGGAGGAGGAGGAGGAGGAGGACGACGACGAGGAGTAGGAGGAGGAGGAGGAGGAGGAGGAGGAGGAGGAGGAGGGAGGCGGAGGAGGAGGACCCCCTCCCCCTCCAACTCATGGTGGTGGTGGTGGAAACCAGACCCCTCAAAAACAACGACGGAGACGCGGGCCCTGAGAGCGCATCCCCCCCCCCCGGACCTGCCCCCAGCCGCCCACCAGTCCCCTCCTGCGTCTCGGCCCGCTGTTTCCCGCAGCGCGGGTCCACACCCACACGACGTGCTCGTCAGTGGGCGGGGCGGCCTCTGTCCAGCCCGACGGTCGCAGGCTGCTGGCACCACAAGACAGGGCATGCCTGGTGCTTGTCTCGGGCACGGGTCTCGAGGTCAGCTGCATCTGCATACTCCGAGCAACACAGCGCACGATCAACGTCTCTCGCGACAGCATTGGCGGGGCATGGCTGGCAAATAGCTTTACGTTCCTCGAGCATGCCCGCTTCCAGCAGCTTGCCTCTAGACCAGGTTCTGTGGCCACCGCCGGAAGGGACCCTCGGAACCTCAGGACCTGCTGCGAGGCCTTTCGATCCGGCGCAAACAGCCACCTGCGGACGGAGGGAATACATGTCCAGGCCTCGTTCGGCCCCTGCCCCGTGGTAGCGGTTGGCCACTCGACGCCGCAGCCTGGCCCAGACTGCCAGGATCACCTCTCGCACGCGAGGCTCAGAACGAAGAAAGCCACACGCTGGAAGCTCCAGCGCGGCCAACCACTCCAGGCCCTTCGCAGCTCCACGTGGAAGCCATGCGCGGGAGGCCAAGCGTGGCTCGAGGAAGCCATGCGCTGGAACCCGTTCGCGAACTCGGTGCGGGGCGGGGCTGCGGGTCAAGCCACTCTCGGCCACGGCCGTAACACTTACGACCGTGCTGACGAGGCACTCGCCCGCCTCCGCCGACATGCCACAGGATCATTAGGGGAACAAAGTGAACCCCACCCGCCCCCTCAGAGATCTTGGGGGGCAGGGGTGGGGTTCGCATCTGGCCCCCTAGGAGGGCCTCGCGGAGGTCGCGCTGCGGGCGCCGGAGCTCGGGGGAGAACAGAATGCATACAGTTAAGTCGGGCCTGTCTCTCTACAGGGGGAAAATTCCAAAATAGTAAAAGAATAGTCTGGGGATGATTTTTTTTGACTATGTTCTGACCATGTTGGAATATGTTTTGTATTCGCATGTGGCCCCCTGATCATGGACGCGCCCAAGAAAACAGCATGGCCACCGAGCGAGAAAGGGCGCAGGCGGCTGCCCGGGGCGCGCCGGGCGGCCGCCCTCGGGTGTGAGGCGCTGGAAGCTGTGGCACTGCCGCGGGTCGGCGGCATTCGTGTTCCGCTGGGAGGCCAGGAGTATGGAGCCAACGTGGCGAGGGAGGGAGGTCCTCCTCCTCCTCCTCCTCCTCCTCCTCCTCCTCCTCCTGGGGAGCAGGACGGAGAGAACGAGGAGAGGAATCGGAGACAGGATGAAGAGGATGAGGGGGTTGAGCGGCAAGGAGCGGCCGAGGGATGGGGGAAGGTCGAAGGACAGATGCGGGAGAGGGAGGAGGGGAGAGGGAGAGGGCTGGAGAGATGGAGACTGGCGGGGGGACGGAACATGGAGGTGGCATGGGGCAGGATGGACGGGGGAGGGGAGCAGGGAGGAGGGATGCGGTAGGAGGGAAAACGGGGAAAGGAACGGGGGGGGAGGGAGAGGCACCCTGCCCCCTCCTTCTCTTCCTTCTCCTCCTCTTCCCTTGTCCTTCTTCTCCCTCGCCTCGTCCTCGTCATCTTCATAGATTCCCCTCTCCCCCCCCCCCTGCCCCCGTGGAGGAGAGCGACGCCGTGTCCTCCGGGGCATCTTCGAAGCCCTTCACCTGAGGAGGCCGCGAAAAAGGACAGCCCCGCCACCCAAACTGTGAGATCACCCACCTCCTCCTCCTCCTCCTCCTCTTCTTCTTCTTCCTCCTCCTCCTCCTCCTCCTCATCTCCTCCTCCTCCTCCTCCTCCCCCCTCCTCTCCTCCTCCTCCTCCTCCTCCTCCTCCTCCTCCTCCTCCTCCTCCTCCTCCTCCTCCTCCTCCTCCTCCGCCTCCTCATCCTACTCCTCCGTCGCTTGCCCCGCATCTGCTGGACAGCCGATGCGGGGCAAGCGGCGCACGGAACCTTGCCGCTGGACAGCCGATGCGGGGCAAGCGGCGCACGGAACCTTGCCGACCAGAGCTGAGGGCGTCACCCTGTGCGTTTCGTCGATGGGGCGTCGTGGAGCGGGTGGGACAGAACATGGGCAAGCCATCCAATGGATTCTGGACGTGCTCGGAGCTCCGTTCTCATTCTCTGCGGGCGCCATGTGCAAGTGGGCCCCGACCACGGACACCAAAACAAACTCATACCATATGTCAAGTCGTGTACGGAAACCCGTGCGTCTCTACGCTCCCATGTGTTGCCTCAGCTGGGTCTGCCCTGATATCCTGGCTGCTGCCAGAATGCTCCCCAAGGGGTTCATGTCGCACCTATCCCAGTTACGTCGCTCGCCTACCCCCGTGACGAAACACGCCTTTTTTTAGGCAGCACCCGCGCCATAAATAGGTCAGCTGTTGAACCCACGCGTCTAAACGACCACTGTAACTTAGACGCCGACCAACCTCTATACCTAGGCCCGGGTATCCGCGAATGAATCGGGGATGGACAGACCCCCCGTTAGTGAAACGTGGTCTAGTGAAAACGACCCGAGGCCCAGACCTGGCGGGCGCGAGCCTGGAAAGTAACGGCCACGGCGCCCTCTCGAGAACCGAAGACGGACAATTCACGAATCGACGTGTCACTGTTGGGGGTTCTGTCCGCCCCCGAATGAAGCACCCCGACTACCATCCGCTGTCCCTAAAGCGGGTGCCAAACGCGGCCGCGATCTCCGCCTCTCCCCGAGCACCGCCTCCCCTCCCCTGCCTCGCGGGGCCAGTATCCAGGGCCCCACAGGGGGCGCTCCCTCCCACAGGCGCTCGACGCCCAGACGACGTGCACGCCCACGGGCGACGAAGTGGCAGCTTGGCATGCCATACGCCGTACGCGTGCCAGGCGATCCTCCTTCACCTCCTCCGTACAGTCGGGGCGTTGACCTAAGGAACCCTAAATAAGGAACGAGGCCCCTTTTTTTCCATAAGTTGATCGATTTCCTGTCGAAAACAGAAGGGGAACCTGAGGCAAGCTGTGAAACACTTCAGGAACGCGGAGCCCCTCCCAAACGAAAAGGGTTCCTTCTTCAAGACCCTTAGTGTACCGTCCTCCGCCTCCTCCACCTCCTTTTCCCCCCCCCACCCGACCACCTCCGGGAGGTTCCACATGCGGCCTGAGTCCTTCATCCTCGCCGCGCCCCTCGCGTCGAACGCGCCGCGGAGCTCGGGCATGTCCGAAACGGAGAGGGGCAGGTAGAAGTGCTCTGTGTTTGAGACCTCCTCGGAAGAAGCTGGGGGGCGGGAGGGAGAAAGACGATAAGGATGATAGGGCAGGAGGAGGACGACAACGACGAAGCCGAGGAGCACATGGAGGACCGAGAGGGGAGAGAAAGGGGACGGACCAGACCAAACCCAACACACACACACACACACCACTGATGTTGCCACTCCCTCCGTCCCCAGATGCGCCCGCATACCTTCTCGCGCAAACTAATGCAACAACTCCCGTACACCGCAGACAACGCCCGCTGGAAAAGTGAAGGCCACATGCACCTGCGAGGTGGTAGCGATGTGCCTTGACATGTGCATCAATGAACGATCATAGCAATATTCCACTGGGAAGCGATCATGCCAATACGCTAGAATAATATATTCTTGGACCTCAGGTTCTCCTCCTCTGAACCCTCCCAAGAAAGAAAGTGGAATACCTTTTCCTCGCTACTCGCCGGAAGCTCACCAGCGACTGTAATACCAGCAAGCAAACAGATACCTTGATATCAGCAAGGGGAGGAAGGTAGGAATGTTCCTCGTTGTTACGTTCCCGTACTTAAGAAGAAAAGAGAGGGATAACTGCGCAGCTTGAGCCCGAACGGGCTATGGGACGCCGCCGAATGGCGGCGTACACACACCTGCTGCCTTGTATGCTCTAGCGGGGCTCAACTCGACCCGTGCTCTATCATGTCGGCTCTGGACGTGGAGGTCTCTGACCCCATACATCCAATTCGTGCTTTACATAAAGCTGCAATCAGCACACGCGCACAGAGGGTGCACAGCAGATAGCGTGCACAACAACTGAACAGCTCAGCGCCTACATTTAACAGCACTGCAGATCGCAGCTGTCTAGACTGCTAGCCGCAGACCGAGAGGGTCTGCCGTTCAAGCACAAGGCTCCAGGCATGCACACATCTAGCTGCGCCAGAGGGTTCTCGCCGAAATCTGCGCACTGCTCGCAGTATTCTGGGTAGCAATAATTTGCATGTCCTCCGCACGGAGAACCTTAACAGCGCGCCGCAGGTGCCATACACCTGCCATAATCTGATGCAAAGGAAGCCGGTCCAGCTTCCCTTTTGTCATGCCATCGACACACATATCCCGCGTGTCGATCCAATAAAATCTCTTGAGCACTCGGGTGCGAAGTAATTCACGTGTATATATATATATATGTTAAATGAAAGAACGTTCCCTTATCATCAAGAAATTTCAAATGATCAGCTTGCAAACAGCTAAACAACGAACCAGAATCAGTAAAAGCCTCACTCTGCAGAACAAATTCTCCAGATTCTCAAATCTCCTTCATACGAACTGCAGTCTGAGGTCCTTGACGTACTTCCTCAGATAATGATAAGATAATAACCATCATGTCTAGCATATCACATTGATTGTGAATCTCAGCACTCCAAACTCCTCGACATACGTGATTCTGCTTGCCTCCAAGGAAGGATCATACCTGCAAGTCATACTTGGAATTCTTCTCACCGTAGTGAGCTAGGCCCAATACATATCCTCTCATTACCAATGGATCCGTGACCTTGATCGCGTCACTTGGGGCCTGATAAGCACTGTCTCCAACTACAATAAGAGACGCTGGCATCTTGATCTTGCGATACTCCAAACCATGTGGGTTGTTCTTCACATGCCTGCATAATCTGCTGGTTCTCTTCAAGTCCATGATTGTTGGCTTCTTTGCGATACGCTGCAAGGAACTCACATATATCACTATGTCTAATCTCGTCTGTACAAACCATGCCACAACTCCCAACAACGTGAGAAAACAAGCATTCAATTCTTCACTCAAGGGTTGGTCGTCACACAACTTTTCGTAGTACGTGGCTGCCAATGGCTTGATAGCTAAGGCATAGTCACATTGATCCAAGACAATACACTTTCCATCATCCACAACTCGATGTCTGATACCAGTATGTATACACGAATGCTCGATGTTCATCTTGACGTCCATGCCGGAATGTTTCTGCAATGTTTTAAGAAACTTCAACCGCGTCATCTTCTCTCCCGTCGCTTTAGAATCACCCATGTATGTACTCACCAGCAAAACCAAATGTCCATTCTCGAACTTCAGGTAGATTTTGGGATCCGATATTGTAGGGTGTATACTCTCCTTCTTGAGCACTTGGTCAGCTTTCATGGTAAACAAGTTAGGTGCATCAATCAATCAAAATCCACCATTCAGTAGCATCGTTGAAATTCTCAAATCCTCGGATGGAACAAAGAACAACACTTCCAGCTGGCTCGATACCACCTCGACCGCGGGGCAACACAATCGACACCTGTCGTTTAAGTCCACCGCGTATTTGCTGCACTTCTTCGAAAGTCAATCCTTTCAAGAACACCTGGGAAATGTCCAAAGAAGCAATAGGCCATTCAGACTGAGCTGCTGTAGCCACTACAGCTCGTTGTCCCCAGGAACTCGCCGTGCCGCTGAATTTACCCAGGTTGCCTCGCTCCATGTCCTTGAACCCGTGCGCTGTCAGTCGACACTTCATAATGCGGGCACCGCCACCCTGTAGCTTCCACGTGAATACATATCGCGACGTCAACAAATTCCAGGCATCGTTCTTATTCTGTCGCCTCACTGAGTTGTTGTCAATCCAACGTAGCAGTTCCGCAAGAACAGCTGCCCTGGCCAGCTCCGGGCTCTTCCTGAGATCGTCGTCCGAAACTGACAAATTTGACTGCGTCTTGTTGGTCTCTATGAGCGCTCTCTTGATACCTGCTTTGTCCACGTGAAGAACACAGACATCACCATCACTCCATGTAGCGTCTTCTGGAAGATAACCACTCAAACAAGCCAAGCCTATTGGTAGTTGAATCTCCGCCGGGTCTGGAAGAATGGTCTTCACCACCTCACGATTGTCACTGGTAAGTCTCGTGGCGAAGGCTTTAACATCCTTATCATACTCTGATAATGCCAGCAAATCGTTGTCCGAGCACAGCTGGTACCGAGGCCGCAACTCCGCGTAGGCGTGCAGATGCTCGTGCCCCAGCAACGCGCCCTCCATGTCGTACTCTGTCTCTGGGGGCGTGGCAGAACAAAACATGACCTTCCATTCATCCTCTTCTGTGTTGATGGTCAGGTAGGGGTCTTCGTCCTCTAGTTATTTCTGCCAGGCTGCCCAAAACTCCGCGTCGGGTTCACCGTCATCTTCCGGGTCTGCACCCAGTCCTTGATCAGGAGAATCGCCCAAATATATTCGCGACAATACCACTGGTGAGATGTTGTGCTGTTCATTGTGAACTCCTCCGAGTTGAGGAACTCCAGGTTCCTCACGCACTGCCTGTCGCACCACGCGATCCTCGCATAGGCAGAACTGCACAATGCAAACCTGCTTCCAATCTCCTCGATCACCAAGTAGCACCTCCACATTTACATTTTGGCCACCCTCGATGAGGATGTATTCGTAGCTGCTCTCACTGTCCTGCGACCAGAACACAAGTATACTCCCAGTAGCTCCTGCGCTCATGGACGTTAATCGCAATACTCCCTGAGCACACACTCCTGCCAAACAGCTAGATACATGTAGCGTATTGCATGCCACATCCAAGATATCATGAAACACCAGACTGTGCTTGACCGCATCCGCCGTTAGCGGCCAGCCCGCTCCTGTCTGCATCCAGCCTATCGTTACTGACTTCCTCCTAAGAGTGTTCGTGAAGTTGACTACGCACTTCCAAGAGTTAAATAGGCTGTCGTGCTGAAGTCTATCTGAGCACGTGTCCAGGAACATGGTCATGTACACCATAGCTCGCCGCAGGCTCTCGATAGGTACCGTGATATGTGTTCCTTGCCATCGTACCGTCACCTTGCCGTGTTCGAGCTCTGTCAAGTCTGTGACTGTAGCTGGACCGACCAGCTCGGACGGTCTTTCTGTTGAGACTTCCTGAAGATCTCCACTGAATCCCCATTCGTCAGTGGCAGTTGATCTCCAGCCAGTGGTGTACGTGACTTGTCGGCCAAGCGTAACCTGTGCTCTGCCATAGCTGAAACTGCACTGCCAACGGATATCTCACGTAAAGGATGTACGTGACGCAAACCATCCATTCCAGATTCATCCTGCATTCTAGCTTCACCAATCACATCCTCAATCTGTGGCAGCAACCGTGGCGCACGTCCAAATAATGACTGATATGGCGTACCCTGTCCAGTGGAAAGCAGAGAGTTCTTGGCCAAGACCGACTCCGCAAGCACCTCCGTAAACGTTGCATCGATGTTGTCGGCCTGAAGCTGAGACTGCGTGCGATGAAGTTGACAGCGAATAATCTCATGATGTCGCTCAGCAATCCAGGCCTTCTTGTCTTTAGGCTTTATGACCAACTCGATATTCCAGCGAGTGGCCCATGTCTTCGCTTCGTCACTGGCCATGGCTCCTTCTCCGTCCCAGATCATAAGCTCGGGCGGGCCGAATACTCTGATCCACCGGGACGTCCTCATGACTAAGATAATGTGCGTCTCCTTGTCTGGAATCTCCTCTGCCACAGTCCATCGGATACATTCGTCGATAAGATGCAGGATTATGTAGCTCCGTATTTGTGATCCTGTCTCGCCCGAAAAAAACATCAGATCTCCTTGAACAGACCGATTAAATCGCATGCATATTCTTGTTGCCGTCCGAACATGAGGTGCTCCTCTTGCCCATGTTCTACATATACGACATGTGTCCACCACCTCGGCAACCAACTTCATCACCTCCGGGGGTACTCCAACCAGCGACAGCAGTCTGGTCATCTGTGCGATCGTAGCATGATACCACCGTAGATGTAGTCGTCTAAGAGCCTTCTTCTTGGTCAAGACATCTGCGCCGTGAAGCAATCGGATCACGTGTCTGAAGTCTGAGTTACCCCAGACTTGAAAGTCCTGGTCTTCATCTCCATGTGGTACCAGTACTTGGTGTCGTTGATCTCGCGATCGAGTATCGACGCCGTGACGTAGCCGTCTTAAACCACCGCGTCGTACTGCTAGTCTGCCTTCTGCATGTGGCTCTGGCGGTGGCGGTGCTGCTCCACCACCGTCCGCGCTTTCAGCTGCCGGGGGACCACCTGCCTCTTCTTCTGCCGGTTGTCCCTCCGCGCGGGGGGGCCACTGCCTCTGGGCGTTCTGCCTCGATCTCGCCATCCTCCAACTCGATTCCATCAGGGTCGTCGAACTCCCTGAGGTCAGCTGGTACTGCTCGTCGTAGTCGTTCTGCTTCCTCCACCTCAGCCGGCCCTGCTCTCGATCCAATAGAGCCGCCCACGGAAACCGCACCTCCGCCGACGTCTCCTTCAGGCTGAACTGGTGGCTCGCCACGTTCATGTTGAGGAACCCTCGCTCCTGTAGGCCGCGCTGGTCCAGCTGATCCCGCTGCTGCCAGTCCCAGCTTACACAACTTGTCCGGCTCCACTGACTTGGCGCGGCCTTTATCTGATCGCGCTTTCGCCTGCAGACATGCCTGACACTTGTACGGCACAGATGTTACGTGAGGATATATACAATCTCCGCCTCGGATGTGTGCTGGATGTTCTGAAGATCTTCGTCGCTTGCATCCTGGGCATACTCTGTCCAGCTCATCCTCCAAGACGGGATAGTGCTTTCTGTTGTCATGCGCGCGTTGCCACTTACGGCGATGCAGTAGCCGTTGCACGCCCCAGGCAAACCGCTCTGCCAGCCTCCATGGCCAGACATGGGAAGCTGCTGCATGACTACCTCTGAGCATCACATGATTACCGTCGCAGGCTCCAGCAATGTCGCCACACTTGGTGCCGTCGACGTAGTATATCAGATCGTAATCAGATGCCCACAACGACGTCGGCTTGTCGACATGACCTCCTTCTGTCGTGCGCGCACCCATCTGACACATGTGGAGATTTCCCACTACAGTACGCGGATGCTCACGAACCTTCGGCCAAGGGTCATAAGTGTACATGTCGCTCGCCGTGGGCTGTTCATTCAACCAGTCTCTGCCGTCATCGCATTGAGCCAGAGCAACTGCACAGAACGTGGACAGCTTCAAGGCATAATCCAGGCTATCCTCCCACGTATCAGGGAATAACTGCCTATTCATGTATGACCAGCCTCCAAATGGACCACATATTGGACTCATGATAACCAATCGAACTCCTCTCGATGAATGATAATTGAGGAATGCCTTTTGCTCACTGGGCGCGGTCAGGTCTGAGCCTGTGATGATGTCGAAATTATTGCCAACCTTGGTGCGATATCGACTGAGTATTATCGAAGTGCGCGCCTGTCCTACGGCAATCTCACATACGTCAAACTCGACATCGTCCATCTTGGATTGGAATACGTTCATGGCTTCCATACAGTTGAATATCTGCGCAAACGGCGTGCTTCTCGTGGCAAAATGTGGTACCGACTGAAGTCCAGAAAACCAGTAAGGCTGAAACGCGTTGTCCTCTATCAGGTCATCGTCACTGTTGTAGTCGTCAATCTCATTGTCCCAAAAGCCAACAGTTACCATCACATCCTTGCCTAGGCCACTCCAGTCGTTGCCGCAGTCGTCGTAGTGCTTCTCGTAAAACTTGGCTTTGCCCTGCTGAGACCCAGAGGGCTGATTCATGATGCTCGTTTTGGTGTCCTCACCGTTCGCCTTCATGGCTGCCTTCTTCTGCTTCTGTCTCTACTTCGCAGCCGCAGGTAAAACCATAGCAATCTCATTGTCTTCTAATACCGCAACTCTCGCTCGATCGGTGAACTCTATCAAGTCGGCTCTGGACGCGGGCAACACGCCGTCAATAACTCCCGGCAAGCCTGTGATAATGTTGCGGTGGTTTTCCATCCTGATGTCGATGATTTCGCTCGGCTTGTCGAAGGAATATTCAATGTCTACATCATGTGCAGTAGAAGCATCGTGAATGCATGCCGTATCTTCCAATCGTTTTGTGGACACCATCTGGAAACATAGCTTCAGTGGCTTTGAAGTACCTGGCGATACGGCCCTCCATGAGCAAGTGTTGTGGTGCGCGCAGTGCACCTGCTGCATGTTGACGATACTCTGAATAGCTGACATCTGCCAAGCACTGGATCTTCGTGGAGCAAATATAGCGAAATCCATGTCTCTCTTGGTAGTGAGATATGTCGTGCACCTGTCCATAACTTTGCGATCGTTTCTCGTTCCCGAGCCGGTCCTGCAACGTGGGAGCTCTGCGATGACCAGGAAGGAGTTCTTCAAGAATCTGTCGCGTGCTTCCTACCACGAAGAGTCCAGGAACATGGTTCGGGATACCATGAATACGCGGGTATCGTTCTGATAGTTGCTGCTGCATCTGGGCATCTTCACTGATCAACACCGCGTATTTCCTCTGCGCCTCCTCTACGCTGGTCTCCTTCGCACTGGCAGTCGAATCCGCCGACTCAGATGGCGGCGGCGCTGCCCCCGGGCTGAGGCAGCCCGCCGCGCTCTGTCAGATCGAAGGATTCCAGCTCGCCGACTTCTTATCCGATGTCGGTGTCCTGGTGGTAGGAGTGAAAGAAGATGAAGATGATGCAGCTGAACCTGTACCTGCCGTAGCTCTCGTGGAAATATTGACTTCCTCCGTCGTCATCGCCATCTTGCTCGTCTTCGTGGGTTGTCCGTCTTGCTGCCGTCGAAATCGACTGATGGGAATCTGCCAATGACCCGACTTCGCCTTGATCATCTGGAAATGCTTGCTGCCCGGAGAAGCCTCTATCTTCGCGCCACCAGGTCCAAGAAACCATATCTCTCCGGTCTTGCAGCGAATAAGAGCGTCATTGCGCTCAAGACTCTGAACGCCCATCAGCCCTGGAACTCCTGAGTTCTCCAAGCACGGTGCCCTGAAGATCTCCTCGTGGTGCGCCCCTTCGGTGTCAACCATGCCCGTGGTCAGCTCCACCTCGTAATTAGCCTGTTGTGAACCGTTACCAACTCCAGCAACATAGCGTGGTTCTATCAGCGACTGTTGATTGACCTTTTTCTGGTACTCGCAGCACTTCGCCGCCTGACGCCGAGCCCATTGATCTCCACATAATCCACCATGCGCTCCAGTATCTGGCATCAGACCGACCTCCTCGCAGGGTAGTGCCATGTTGCTTAAGAATACTTCATACTCGCGCGCACAGCTGCTTGAAGGCTACCATGGTCCAAAGAATGAATTCAATCGCATTGGTTCCCCCGCTGATGATGATGCCGCACGGGCACTGGCGTTGTTCATGTCCGTGATGATATTGGGTCGCCGATTCGGTATAATCATAGGTGCGAAGCGGGTCTGCATAGGCTCCATCTGGTTAGCTTCGCTCCGGGCAACCACTCCTCGCATCACTGTGGCCAGATCTTCCATCATAGCTGAGACCTGAAGGCGTTCATCATGACCGCCTGCGATATTCCGAGGGGTAGCCGGCGCCGCCTCCGCAACCGTAGTCCTGCATAGCGGACGCGTAGGAGGGTCGCCAACTGCACCAGCTACAATTAATGCCGCACAGTCTTGACAAAAGTGAGCATGTTCACATGGCATCAACTTCGTGTTCGCCTCCTGCTCCAGGCACATGATGCAATGCCCCTCGTTCGTTGACCTGTCTGGTATATTCTGTCGTGGTGGCCGCGGTCCATCTCGAGGAGACGCTGGAACAGGAACGGCGGCTGCTTCCGAAATTGCACGCCGATCATTTTCTGCAACGCCCGTCTGAACGTCGATCGTGTTCTCGCATATTTTCTTCAACATGGTTACTGGCAATCGTGACCCTCGTCGGCCCCTCAGGAGTGCGGAATTCGTCTGGCGGGGTAGTCGCCGGCGGGGTTACGAATCCTGAGACCACTGCCGAACGCGCTGACATAGCCACCAGCTGCTGCGTGAATGCCGTCGGTAGTGCTGATGCCGTCGCTGTTGGTGTTGCTGGTCGGGGTGATGGAGGTCTCCAATATGGCGATACAGCAGACATCAAACCCAATGAACTTCCTGGCGTCTGTACATAATGCGCAGCACCAAATTCATCTCCTGTAGTGAGTGATCCAAATGCACCTCCGTGCGTCTGCGTAGGGGTGTGTGGAACAGCTCCGAATGATTGCCTTCCCCTAGGATCTCGCATAAATGAATGAGTCTCTGGCGCAGCACGCATCAGACTCTCTGCATCCTGACCATGAGCATGTAGTTGATATTCTCGTTGATGCCTCTCGAAAATCACTCTTTGCTGTGAGGGTAGCGTCTCGATCGAAGCCTCCGATGGCTTCACCGTCTGGAACTTCTTCAGCAGCTGGAGCTCCGCCTTCCACGACCATCCAAGAAGCGCGCGACTCCGTAGCATATCCAGCACTGAAGAAACTTGGCACAGCAGGCAATCCAGCAAGAGGTCCTTGAGTAAACGGTGCCTGTGAGCCAGGCACCGCATATGTCGGGGCCGGTGGCCCCGGTGTCTGCGTGAGGAGCGTCGTTTTCGTACCCTGGCCCTTGCCTTTTCCATTGCCGCCCTTGCCCTTGCCTGTGGGGCGCTGCCTCCAGAGATGCTGTGGATCCGCGCGTCGAGCACTTCAACGGTTGTCCGTCTGCCCCAGCAGGATTACCCTTACGACCTTTGCCGAACGACTTTCCAACAAACTCTGGGGACTCGTTCTCATAGCAATGCCGGCGACGCTGCGGACCACGGTATCTACGCGGGCCATTGCCCACGAAACGTCGCCACTTCCTCCGATAACGCTTGTACTTCTGGTAATAATACTCGGCCTGATCGTTGTTCGACCACTGTGACATATCTGGCTCGTCTTCCTCGCTTTGAAATAGGACAGCATTGGCTTCACCGTCATCGTCCGTGGTGTCGCTGTCATCGCCGTCGTACAGGTAAGTCTCGTCCGGAGCCGCCGCAGCTCCAGAACTGAAAACTCCTGCCGGCCATATTCCACTTGATTGCCCAGGCACACCGAACCCGTTTGTCATGAACGTGTGCTCTGTCGCGTGGAAGACTCCCGGGCTCTGGGCTGGATTCATTATGTTATGTGAGCCATTCTCCGCAAGATGTCCGAAGCGCTTGACATAGGCCAGGAACTGGCGATACTGCATTTCATTCGTCGGCATGTGTCCCTGAAATGGCGCCAGCACCTGAACCCAGAACTCCGCGGGAAGTCGAAGAGACATCAATAGCATCCAGGCGGCATGATGCGGCTGTATGATTATATTCGAACGCGTCCTGGCTCTCTGCAGCACAACTTCCCATCTCGTCAGCATGGTATCGATGTTCTCTCCGGGAAGTCGTGCAAAGCCGTACAGATCGGTCATGCCTCTCAGACTCGTCTCCTCTTCCAGTGGTAAAAACTGTCTGGCCAGAGTTTGTAGAATGAATGCGGCGCCGTTCAGTCTCTGTGGTCCAGCTCCATCTCCCAGGTCGATCTCTGCGCCATGTATCTTCGCCTGAAGAGGAAGCTCTCTGATCATATCTCGCGCAATGCCTCCTAGACACAGCTCGATCTGTGGTCCTTTTCCGTACCTCGTCAACATTCGTCGCATTGCACCATGCCACAACATCTGCCAGCCAGTTACGAAACGGATACTGCTGCTCCATCTCTGGCGACCACGGAAGGGGGTTTGTCATACTGCTTCTCATGTTCGCCCACTCTGATGGTCCAGGAGCCTGGTTGCCATATGGCCATGTCGGACGTCCACGACCAGCTCCCTTGGCTTGTCCGTCTCCGAAAGGTTGAAACTGTCCGACTGGCTGGCGAAACATCGTAGCAATAATAAGCATTAGGAACTGCATCGAGAAGATGTTCAGCTCGTGATTGGGCTCGTCCAAATACCGTGGAGCAGACACAGCGTGCCTGCTCCGCTACCAGCTAGAGTAATATCTTCTTGAACCTCAGGTTCTCCTCCTCTGAATCCTCCCAAGAAAGAAAGTGGAATACCTTTTCCTCGCTACTCGCCGGAAGGTCACCAGCGACTGTAATACCAGCAAGCAAACAGATAGCTTGATATCAGCAAGGGGAGGAAGGTAGGAATGTTCCTCGTTGTTACGTTGCCGTACTTAAGAAGAAAAGAGAGGGAGAACTGCGCAGCTTGAGCCCGAACGGGCTATGGGACGCCGTCGAATGGCGGCGTACACACACCTGCTGCCTTGTATGCTCTAGCGGGGCTCGACTCGATCGGTGCTCTATCAAGTAATACTCCACCGAGTTTGGAAGGCACTCGCGCAGCCCCCCCATACGGCTGGCAGAAGTTCTCCCAGTCCGCACCTCATATTCTCTCTCCGCAGAGCAGTGCGCACGCCTCCTCCTCCTCCTCCTCCTCCTCATCCTCCTCCTCCTCCGCCTCCTCCTGCTCTCCTCCTCCTCCTCCTCCTCCTCCTTCTTCTTCTTCCTCCTCCTCCGCCCTCCCCATCCTCCCTCCTCCTCCTCCTCCTCTCCTCCTCCTCCTCCCCTCCCTCCTCCTCCTCCCCCTCCTCCTCCTCCTCCTCCTCCTCCTCCCTCCTCCTCCTCTCCTCCTCCTCCTCCTCCTCCTCCTCCTCCTCCTCCTCCTCCCCTCACCTCCGCCGAACAGTCCGGCACATCCCTCACAAGGATCGTGCGCCACAGGGACTTTCACCACCAGCGTAAGTGATTCGTCCGCGTCGGTCCCTCCGCCCATTCTCGAGGAGGACGACGAGGGGATGAGGGAGCTGGGGAGGAAGAGGAGGAGGAGGAGAAGGAGGAGAAGAAGGAAAAGGGGAACATGAGAAGAGGGAGAGAGAATCGGAAAGAAAGGGGTCAAGAAGGGGGGAGGGGGGAGGGGGGGGGAAGAGGGTGGCGGGGCAAGAAAAGGCGGTGGAAAGGAAGTGCTCGTCCGCGGACGTCTCCTGTTTCTCAGCGTCCAGCAGGTCCAGGTACATCTTCAGGAACTTCAGTGCCTCTTTTTCGTCGTTTCTCCTCAGCATTTCGCTATAGCTCCCGAGAAGCTCCTCGATGTATCCCCAGACCTTCTCGAAGGTGTCTGTGTAAAAGTCCAAGATGGCCTGCTCATCTTTCTTCTCCTCCTCATCCTCCTCTCTCCTCATCCCCCTCCTCCTCCTCCTCCTCCTCCTCCTCCTCCTCCTCCTCCTCCTCCTCCTCCTCCTCCTCCTCCTCCTCCTCATGATCATCATCACCCCCATCCTCATCCTCATCCACATCCTCATCCTCATCCTCATTATCATCCTCCACCTCTTGTTCCTTGCCCCCCTCTGCCCTCTCCACACCGCAGCCGCCCAGCATTCGTCAGGATGGTTTCAATGTGCGCCGTCTGCGCCGTGGCACAAGGTTAGTGGCAACGTCAGTGCCAGGACGTCTCGTCCTCGTATTCGGTCTGGTCCTCAGTGGCACTACGCCGCTAGGCAGATGTCAGGCCTCATATCGGCAAAGTGGGCGTGCTTACGCACTACCCTTGCTGCAAATGCGCTATGCGCACCAGATACTCCGAGGGAGTCTCTTTCGACAGGACGGGGCCGATGGTGCACGGTCATCCTTTCGCAGCCGCAAAAAAACTCCGGGTTTCTTGATAAGCGTGGGCCCCCCCCCACGGGGGTCAATCTCGGAGCGCCTTCGGCTCGCGGTGGCTGCCCGCGACGGGAGTCGATGTGGGGCTGTCGGCGGGGGTGACGCCCCCCCGACGCTTACTAAGAAACCTGGAGTACGTAATTCAGTGGGCTGGGCAACCCGCAACATACTACTAATCAAACGAAGGGCCCGCAATCAGCGAACATGACGCGGGGGAGTGGGCTGGGGAGGGAAGCGGGAGGCGGGAGCAAGGGAGCTCGGAGCGAGGGGAGGAGGAGGAGGAGGAGGAGGAGGAGGAGGAGGAGGAGGAGGAGGAGGAGGAGGAGACCCAGTACAAACCAAAGACACGTCGACGATGTCGCAATGAACCCTCCCTCCAGATTCCCTCTTCATGGGCCCCAACAGGACATGAAGTTCATTGCTAGCATTACGTGGTTCCCATCGTACTTCAGCACCAGATGCCAAACAAATGCTGGCCCAACGGGCCAGATGCGTGCTAAAATCTCCGGTGGCTGGTTAAGAGTTTTCTGGTTCGCGCGCGCGGGGCCGCCCCTGGGGGTCCCCGGCCGAAAAGTTCCCCAGCAAGGTCCCGGCAAGTCCGCCTCAGAGGTGGTTTTGCTCCTGGGCGCCGCCTGTCAGGCCCCCGGGAGGGCCCCAACAGGCCCCCAAGACGGTCCAAGAGGGCTCCGAACGTGGAACGATCGGTCCAAGACGCCCAAGGTGGCTTCCAGACGGCCCAAGGCGCCTTTAAGACGCCCCAAGGGGCCACCAAGAGATCTCCCAAGAGGGCCCCCAGAGAGCAAAAAGTAATGGATGTCCTAAGGTTTTTGAAAGATTTTAGCGTTCTCGCCTTTTCAGTCTACCCGCGCTCCAAGACGACACAAGAGGCCTCCAAGATCGCCCCAACACGGCCCAAGAGCCAAGAGGGCCCCCAACCGGCCCCAGAGGGCCCCGAGACAGCCCAAGAGGCCTCGAAGACGGCCCAAAAGGCCGTGGCCCCAAGAAGCCACGTGGCCCAAGAGGCCCCCAGTGGCCCCAAGAGGCCCCCAGTGGCCTCCCAAGAGGCCCCCCAGAGGCCCCAGTGGCCCCAAGAAGCCACGAGGCCCCCGAGAGGCCTCCCAAAAGACCATAAACAGCCTCCCAAAGAGGCGCCGTGTCCACGACCAGTTTGGCTCCAAAATGCCAGCAGAAGCCATCGAGAGGCCTCCTCCTCCTCCTCCTCCTCCTCCTCCTCCTCCTCCTCCTCCTCCTCATCCCCCCCTCTTCCTCCTCTCCGTCCTGCTCCTCCTTCTCGCTCGCCGCGAGCACACAAACATATGGGTCGTCTGGCCGCCCTTTTGGCGCCTTCGTGGGCCGTCTTGGGCGCCCCCCGGGGGTCCCCAGAGGCGCTTCTGAGGCCCCAGAACTAAGAGGGACTACTCCTTTCTGCCTCTCCATATCCCTCTTCGGTTTCGTCCGCTGTTTTCGACACCTTTGGGTGCCCTGCTGGGCCGTTTTCGGAGCCTCTTGGGCTCCTCTGGGGGGCCATTCTTTGGAAGTTTTCCACGCCTTTTTGGGCCCTCCCGGGCCGTCTTGGACCCCTCCCACAAACTCCGCGTTCCCAAAAATGGTGGGGCGGCAGTGTCTGCCCCCTGTCCATGGCGTACCTTGTCCTGTGCAAGATCTTCGGCACCGCCTGTACTCTGCACCCTTCGGCCGCCTGAGGCCCCGCCCGCCCGCGCCCTGTCTCCCCAAGCAGGGCTTCGCGCGCCCCGCCTAGCTCTTAACCGGAAGGGGCCCGCTCCCCACCCGCCGACCCAAAAAAGTGTCTGCCCCCTCAGGGGTGTTCAATTGATAGAGGCCTCCTAGATGGGGCCCGAGTAGATGGGGTCGGAGGATCGCGCCGCATCGGCGATGCATCGGGGATGCACCGGCGACGTCGGCGATGCATCGGCGACGTCCGCGTGAAGCAAATCGGGCCTTCATCGAGCCGCATCGGCGATGCATCGGCGATGCGGCGCGATCCTCCGACCCCATCTACTCGGACCCCATCTACTCGGACCCCATCTACTCGGGCCCCATCTAGGAGGCCCACCAATTTTGGGGACAGGCGAGGTCCCCCGAAGATGCAACGTAACCTCAGGGGTGTTCAATCGAACAGTTCCGAGCACCGAGCAGTGTCGACACAACCTGCCCGGCGCGCCGGGCGACGCGTCGAGCGACGACCGCCACCCGGAGAGCCCGACGCGCGAGAACGCCTTTTGCCGCTTCGGAGGCGTCACTGGTGCTCGAGATGATGTCTTGGTGGCCAAGGCGAAAGTAAAGGCCTCCGGGTAAAAAACATACAAAAAACACCACACACACACACACACAAGTGTGGGTAAAAAACACACAGACTGTGGGCCAAACACACACACAGAATGTGTGTGTGTTGTTTACCCACAGACTGCGTGTGGTTTTTTACCCACTGTGCTTTTTACCCACAGAATGTGTGTGTGTTTGTACCCACGTGTGCGTTGTTTACCCACAGTGTGTGTTTCTTACCCACAGATGGGGTCCGAGCAGATGGGCTCGGAGGATCGCGCCGCATCGCCAATGCATCGCCAATGCATCGCCGATGTATCGGCGATGCATCGGCGACGTCGGCGATGCATCGGCGACTTTAGCGTGGAAAAACGCGGGCTCCACATTGAGCCGCCTCGTCGATGCATCGGCGATGCGGCGCGATCCTCCGACCCCATCTGCCCGGACCCCATCTAGGAGGCCTAGATAAAGTGCTACGTGCAGTGAAAAAGCTGTACGTCGACTCTACGGCGGCGCAAACTTGCTCTGCAACAACGGCACCGGCCAACCCTCCCGGCCAACCCCCAAAAACCCGGCCAACCCTCCTCGCCAACCCCCTCCGGCCAACCCTGGTTCGGGTAATTCTTTCCATGAGATATGGTAGGTTGGAACATCTGATGGCCAGCCAGCGAGCGCCAGGCGCCGTCAGCAGCACCGCCCCATGACGCGCCAGGCGGCGCAGGCCTCAGAGCGAGGAGAGAGAGGCAGGCGGCCAGGCGTGCACACGCCGACGAGCACGGGCGCCAGCCCTGGCCGCCGAAGGAGGCGCCCCCCCCCCCGCCCTGCACGCTCCCTCGAGCGAGCAGAACGTTTTTTGTTGTGTGGGCAGTCTGCGAAGCACGGCGCGCACGTGAGCGGGAACTCGCGGGCGTCCAAGAGGGGGGGAGGGGGGGCGCAGATCATGGCCGGCGGCACGTGCGCGACCCAGGGGGGGGCGGGGGCGGGGGAAGTCATTGATGACATAAGAGGAGGCGCCATGACATTTGGGGAGACATCGCGGCCCCTGGTCATCACCCCCTTCTTGGCCGCTCCCGAGGAACAGGGGGAGAGAGGAGAGAAGGACCCGCCACCCTCGTTCCCGTCTCCAGAATGAGAGGTCGGGTTCCCCCCCCGCCGGGCCCCCTCAGCCCCCAAGGGGCGGATCGGTGGTTCCGAGCTGGGGCCCTGAGGGACGGGGCCCTGAGGACAGGAAGGGAGCCCAAGGGTGTATCTTGAAAACGCTTCTGGAGGCACCTCGCCCCCAGCGGAGGAGGAGGAGGAGGGAGGAGGAGGAGGAGGAGGAGGAGGAGGAGGAGAGGAAGAGGAGGAGGAGAGGAGGAGGAGGAGGGAGGAGGAGGGCGGGCACTCGTCCCCTCGGGACCCCCTCCTCGGAGCCGCGAGCGCAGGGCGGCCACCTGCCTCGCCGCTGCGCGCCGCGGCGTGCGGCGCCCCGCCGCGGGCCCCACCGCCGCCGCGCGCGTGGCCCGCCGGGGCCTCTCCCTCCTCCTCCTCCCTCTCCTCCTCCTCCTCCTCCTCCTCCTCCTCCTCCTCCCTCCTCCTCCTCCTCCTCCTCCCGCTTCTCCTCCCTCTCCTCCTCCCTCTCCTCCTCCCTCTCCTCCTCCCCTCCTCCTCCCTCTCCTCCTCTCTCTCTCTCTCTCTCTCTCTCTCTCTCTCCCCCGACCCACTCGCGGCGCGAGAGCAGGACGCGCAGGGGCAGACTGCCTGCCCGTCGGTCGGGAGGGGCAGGCAGAAGCCTGAAGCGGGAGGGCGCTGGAAGCAGATCGGGCTCCCGCCCGCCCCAGTGAAGAGGAGGGGAGAGGGAGAGCCGCTCGACGCCTGAAGTAGGAAGGCGCTTAAAGTAGATTGGGATCTGGGAGTCTGAAATTCATGCTTTCAGCGACCGATTGGGTAGTACTATACGTCCTCCCTGGAGGCGCGCGCCCGACCCGAACATGTAGTGTACCCCTCTTGTAGTGTATCTCGTTTCCCGAGCGGTGTGGCCAGAAAACGCCCGCCACGACGCATTTACAAGAAGATTTCTCGGTGCGCGCGTCGCCCCTGGGGAGCGACGCACACATAGTACTAGTGCGTTGGGGTGACGCCGGTAAGAAGATCAAGACGGGAGACTCTTCGCTACGCAGTAGGAGCTCGGCCATAAGAAAACCGTCCACAGAAAACCCAACCCCGAGACCCCAGGACGTCCACTGATTTTCAGTGCGGGAACGCTACGTATTCCACCTAGAAGACCTAGCAAAACCATGGAAGCCCACGACACCCAGCGCACCCTGGAGGCAAGCAGGGTGCTTCTTGGCATGGGTTTCCGCTGTATGTTCAGCCTCCCGGGGCCCGTACTGGGCCCGGGGGCCGTCAAAAACGACTCTGGATTCGGCTGCGCGCCCAGGGGGGAAGTGAGAAGGAGAAGGCCCTCCGAGAAGGCTCGGGAGCCCCCCGGCCTTCTGAAAAGTTTGCTGCGCCTCCCCCGAAGACGCGGACAACTTCTGAGACGGCGCGAGGGCTTCTGAGAAGTCCCGCTGCCTTCTGAGAAGGCCTTTCCATTTCCCCCCTCGCTCGCCGCCGAAGGACGAAAAACACGCCCTGGGGAGGGAGTCTCATGGGCTAGGTCGGGCATGTCCCCCCACAGGCAAATTTCAGGGAACACTTACGAGAAATGTTTAACACATGCCCAAAAGCAATCAACAACAAATCATAAGAAGTCGTCCCCAGGCCATGTTCGCACTGTTTCTGAACAGCCCTCCTGTGGAGGGACGTGCCCGACGTCACTCATGGTGGGTCGATGCTGCGCAAAAAATCACTCGCCGAGCGCGTTCCACTACTCGCAAAGTGCCTGCTCGCAGACGTCCGAAACACACCCGTCTGTTCTGATGTAATTCATCGCAGATCCCCGGCGGGGGATCTTGGCCACTTGCGAGTAGTTACTTTGCGAGTAGGGGAACGCGCTCGTCAAGATTTGTTGCGCAGCATCGCCCGCCCATGAGTGACGTCGGGCACGGCCCTCCACAGGAGGGCTGTTCAGAAACAGTGAGAACATGGCCTGGGGACGACTTTCTATGATTTTTGTTGGTTGCTTTTGGGCATTTGTTTTTCGGGCATTTGCGAGTAGTTGCTTTTGCGAGTAGGGGAACGCGCTCGTCGAAATCACGACGCCGGGGGTCTGGGCCCGCGCAAAAAATTATACGAGCGCGTTCCACGACTCGCAGAGTAGCTGCTCGCAGATGGCCTGGATCCGCCACGGGTGATCTGCGATAGAGTACACATCGAAGCAGACATGTGTGTTTTGCATCCATTTGCGAGTAGGCACTTTCCCAGAGATCCGCCGGTATGATTTATTCAATCCGCGGCCCCAGAGGTCCCGACCCCTTCCCCTGGAGTGGTTTCTCGTCCCGGATCCAGTTCTGCTGGTCCCCGGGCCCGATAACTGGCCCCGGAGGCCGAAATCCAGGAAAAACCTCCAGATTGAAAAAATCATACCTTCGGATCTCTGGGTTGCGAGTAGGGGAACGCGCTCGGCGAAATCACGACTCCTCCTCCTCCTCCTCCTCCTCCTCCTCCTCCTCCTCCTCCTCCTCCTCCTCCTCCTCCTCCTCCTCCTCCTCCTCCTCCTCCTCCTCCTCCTATCCTCCTCCTCCCTCCTCCTCCATCCTCCTCCTCTTCCATCCTCCATCCTCCTCCTTCCTCCTCCTCCACCTCCTCCTCCTCCTCCTCCTTCCCTCCTCCTCCATCCTCCTCCTCCTCTTTTTCCTCCTCCTCCTCCTCCTCCTCCTCCTCCTCCATCCTCCATCCTCCCCCAGGGCACACAGAGAAGCACACCCAGAAGGGAGGGGAAACTGGGGGGAAAAGCCTGTCCTCGGTGTGCACTTCTTTGTGTGTCCCGGGGCCCCCTTCAGGTTAGGGGAACAAGAAGTGACACAAACATGAAAAAACTAGGAGGTCCGCGCGGATTTCTCGGATCGGCGCCAGGGCCCCCTCCCTGGCGCGCGGCGCCGATCCGAGAAATCCGCGCGGACCTCCGAGTTTTTTCATGTTTGTGTCACTTCTTGTTTCCCTAACCTGAAGGGGGCCCCGGGACACACAAAGAAGTGCACACCGATGACAGGATTTTCCCCATAGTTTTCCCTCTCTTCTGGGTGTTCGTCCTCCCCCCCACTTCCCCCAAGGTCAGGAGGCAACTGCTGGGAGGTTTTCGTCGGAAAGGTTGCAGTCGGCCTTGATCGGGGAGGGCGCGCGAGAGGACAGTTTGCGAGCAGTTGTTTTGCGAGGGCCCTTCCGAGGGCCATTTGCGAGCAGTTGTTTTGCGAGTCGGGGCACGCGCTCGTCGAAATCACGACGCCGGGGCTCTGGGCGAGAAGGGCCCGGCCCCCAAGATTAGGTGGCAACTGAAGGGGCCCCGGGACACACAAAGAAGTACACACAGATGACAGGATTCCCCACATTTTCCCATAGTTTCTGGGTTTTCGTCTTCCCCCCCACTTCCCATATTTTCCCATATCTTCCTGGGAGTCGACGATTCATTGTGTCTGTGTGTTGTTCCCCCTCCTGAGCAACTACTGCGAGGTTTTCGTCGGAAAGATTAAGGAGGATTGAGCCCCATGTGGGAGGTGTTGCGCCGGAGTGGGCCTCGGACCAAGCAGGATCAAGCCGGATTTAGCGGGATTGAGCGGGATTAAACCGGATTACGCGGGATTGAGCCGGAGTGCAGTCGGGGCGCTGACCTAAGGAACGAAAAATAAGGAACGAAGCCCCTTTTTCCCATACATTAAACTCCGATTTTCCATGGAAAACCTCAGGGAAACCCAAGGAGCACTGTAAAACAACTAAGGAACATGGAGCCCCTCCCCAACAAAAAAGGGTTCCTTCTTCAGGGCCCCGACTGTAAGCCGGACTTCGCGGACCAGGGCAAAATCAGAACTTGACCTCCCAGGAGTTGCATCCGAACCAACAGGATCCAGCGCCTGGGGAAAGACCTATAGGCGGAGAGGCTGCTCGCCGCCACTCCGCCTCTCTGGAGGCCCTCGCAGGGGCCCCGGGGGCCGTCAACAAGACGACGCGGGACGCAGAACTCGGCCCATGGGGAAAGGGTCGGGTCTCCTGGGGGTAAAACAGGGCTAGGATCTGGATAAATCGCTCCAGAGCGTTCCGGAGCGCTCTCAGAGCGTTCCGGAACGCTCTGGAGCGGCCGCGGCGCCCAACACATCCTCCAAACCCGCCGATTCTCAGAGATTTCGAGATATCCCGATCCGATTTTGTCCCGATCTTCGCGTCGTTTTAGGGGGCCCCGTGGTGCGAAATCGCGGCATCGGACCTCGAGTGGGCAAGGGCGAGGGGCCATGGCCGCTCCGCGTGCTGGCCCGCCCGGCCCCCGGCCCCTCCCTGCACTCTTCCCGCCACGGCGCGGCAGAGGCGATCCGCTCGCGCGCTCGAGCCGCCGGGGGCGCTCTGCAGACTCACTGCCTGGCTGCCAGAGGAAGACACGGCTGGGGGGGGAACCGGCGCCCCTTCCTGCACGTGCCGTGGCTCGTCGGCAGCCGTCAGCGCCCCGGCGAGGAGTGAGCCGAGGACGGGTGGTTTCCGGCGGGTGGTAATGGGGCATGATCTGAACGGGAGGTGAAGCAAAAAGCCCCAACAGGGGCCCTGTAGGGCCCCATTTGGGAGCCAGCTGTTGCCCGAAAGGGGTCCTGAAGGGCCCCTCTTGGGTCACCCCGCAGTGGGTCAGCCCCCACCCAGATCATTGGATACCGATTTTTGGTCGGTCGCGATCGGTAGCGACCGATCGGCTCTCCAAATCGGTCGCGAATGATCGCGAATCGGTCGCGACCGGTCGCCACCGATCGAGACCGATTTTGAAACAAATCGGTCGCGACAGATACCGAAATTTGAAGCAAAATCGGTGGCGACCGTTATCGTCGGTCGCGACTCGGAAATTCCAGTATCCAATGATCAGGGCATCACCCCACTTGGGTCACCCCCCACTTGGGGCACCTCCCATCACGACGACTTGGGTCACCCCCAACGTGGGCCACCCCCAATCACTCATTGCACCGGCCTTGCAAACGTGCTGCAGCGGATTTCTGCGTGGATTTCTGCGTGGATTTTTGCCCGAAGCGGCGAGCGACAAACGAAGTGAATTTCGCGTGGATTCTTTTTGGTCATCCTTCCTGGCCCAACAAAATCCGCGCGAAACTCGCTTCAAAATCCGGAACGACACTCTCCAGGGCACCCCGAGCCCATCCTGTCGCTTGCCGAACGAAATCCGCTCTGCGATGTTGGCGCCATGAAATCACCACCCGCCCCAGAGAGGAATGAGCCGAGGGCGGCTGGTGGCTCGTCGTGCCCGTGGTCGTGCGCTCGGGGGGCCCTGAGCTCCTCCGCAGCTGGGGCCCGGGCCCGCCCCCGTGCGGCTGGCGGCGGCGCCGCTCCGCGCCGACGCTCGCCGGTCGCCCTCCCTTCCTCCCCAGCACCCCCTCCCTCTCCCAAGATCCCCTTCCACATCCTCATCCTCCCCTGCGTCCTCCTCTTTACTCTTTACGCTTTCTCCCCCTCCTCCTCCTCCTCCTCCTCCTCCTCCTCCTCCTCCTCCTCCTCCTCCTCCTCCTCCTCCTCCTCCTTCCCGCCTTCTCGACCCGCAGGATCGTCATCGCCAGCTTGGCGCGCCCCAAGCGGCTCGGGGACGATCCTGGCAAGGGCAGCCATCTGTGGATAACCCCGGGAGGGCCCCCCGGCAGGGCTGGTTGACGCCCCCCCCCACCCCTCCTGGCTGTCCTCTTTCCCTCTCTGCTCATCACCCCTGCCCCCTGTGAAGAGGCCTCCTTCTCCTCCTCTCCTCTCCCTTCCTCCTCCTCCTCCTCCTCCTCTCCTCCTCCTCCTCGATCCTCCTCCTCCTCCTCCTCCTCCTCCTCCTCCTCCGCCTCCTCCTCCTCCTCCTCCCCACACTCATCATCCGGCTGCTGCTCCTCATTCCCTCCATCCATCCCCCCTCCTCCCCTACCTCCTCCATCCATCCCCCCTCCTCCCCCGCATCCTTCTCCTAAAGAGAAGAGAGAGAGAGAGAGAGAGAGAGAGAGAGAGGGGACTCGAGAGAGAGAGAGAGAGAGAAAAAAAAAAAAAAAAAAAAAAAAGAGAGAGAGAGAGAGAGAGAAAAAAAAAAAGAGCGACTCGACTAAGCGACTCTTGAAAACATGTGCTGCAGACGGCGTGGGCGCAACATACGGCCGAGTGCGCGTGGATCCCAGAGCAGTGATGACAAAACTCCCCGCCGTCTTCAGCAATTAGCGCGGGCGGCCAGATGGTGATAGGGGGGAGTCGAAGGGACGAGGCGGGAGAGGGAGGCAGAGGAGGAGCGGGGTTGTGAGCACTGGAGGCGGAGATGCCGGAGGCGGCGGCGGCAGCGCTGGGGGGTGCAGGCGGAAGCGGAAGGTGCAGGAGGCGGAGAGGGGGCACGGAAGGGGGGGGGGGGGGGGAAGCCGACGGGCGGCGATGCGCGCGAGCCTTGAGCACACGACCCAGCCGACCGACGAGGCACCCGCGAGGCGCCCACGGGCAGGCGCCCGGAAGCGAAGCTTCTCGGGGAGGCGGCGATCCCAGAAGGAGCAGGGCCCACGCACGGTGGTGCGCCCCGACGGCGCACCCCGCAGGCGGGCACGGGGCGGAGCCGGGGAGCCCGCGGCAAGTAGGGCGCATCGCCGCCCACGGGCCGGCACCGGGCGGAAGGCCCACCGACGATCAGTGCGGGCAGGGAGCACGGAAACCATTGGTGCGAGCTCTGCCTGGGAGCTGAGCTCCTCCTCCTCCTCCTCCTCCTCCTCCTCCTCCTCCTCCTCCTCCTCCTCCTCCTCCATCTCCTCGCACCCGGAGAGGGCGTCTCGCCCGATGCTGCTGAGCCACAAGTAGAAGGTGAGAAGGAGAAGGTGGAGACGGAGGGAGGATGCACCTCCTGCCTTCGTCCTCCCTCGATTCTTCTGTCGCTCTCTCGTTCCCTCTGTTTCTCTCTCTCTCTCTCTGTTCCTCTCTCTCTCTGCCTCTCTCTCCTCATTACTACTATTTCCGATGAAGCGCAGTGCGGAAGTAACCAGCAGCACAATCCGATGAAGCACAGCAACTTTGAATGACAAGGAACGAGACATTCAGAATTCAGAAACCCACAGGGCCCAACGCGCGTCCGTCCCCGGTAGAAGTCATAGCAGCCGTAATCGTAAGAGTAGGTGGTGGTGATACCCATAGTCGAAGAGGGAACACGAACACACGACAATTCTGCCCATAGCGTCCGCATTCAAATTGTAGTCGTGCCATACATCGTTTTTCGTATGAATTGTAGGGGATACGGTGGGTGTAAGGACACTGTGAGCCGTGGCTGTTATACTACTGGCAAGGGGGATGACGGTGTCTGAAAACAAATATAGTTAGCTGGGCCTGACACGGTACACGCATACATGTACATGTGAAACACTGCCAGTCTCTCAACCTCTTCCTCTCTCTTTCTCTCTTTTCCCCCCTTTCTCACTACAACGGTAAAACTACATATCTGTGTTCATAGATACGAATATATGTGCACGTGTGCATGTTGCGTGTGCATACGTGTGTACACATACGTACATATAGTGTGTACGTAGTCATCTCTCTGATTGTTTACAGGTCCTGGTATCACGCTCTCTCTATCTCTCTGTCAAGCTCGTTACGTTGTTATGTTTGTTTTCTCGCTCTCTCTCTCTCTTTCTCGTTCTCTCTCACACTTTCCATATACATATATATATATATATATATATATCGTTCTCCCCTTCTCCCAATTCCACATTTCCCTATCACCTGTCCCAAATCCTGGGTTCCTGTTTTCCGGTTCAAGGTTCCCGGATGCCGGCTCCCAATTCCCGACTCCCAATTCATTCCTGGACCCCCGATCCTGGCAACGCGTTCGCGGTTCCCGGTTCCCGGTTGCCAATTCCTGCAGTTCCCGGTTTCTGGTTCCGGGTTCCAAGATTTCACCGCTCCCAATTCCCAGTTCCCGGTCGCGGGTTCCTGGCTCGCGGTTCCCGGTTCCTGGCCCCAGGTTCCCGGTTCCCGGTTTCCTGTTCCCGGTTCCCGGCTCTGGGTTCCCAGTTCCCTTCCCTATTCCTCCACTGTGGAGGGCGAGGTGGGAGTGACCATTGCTGCGGAGGACGAGGAGGCGACGAGGGACAGGATGGTGGGGAAGGGAGGAGAGGATCAGGAGGGGGAGCAGGATGAGGCTGTATTTCCCAGCAGATCCTGCAGTCAACAACCCTGCCGCCGGCGCCGTCTTCAGCTCCACGATCCAGCTGGGGTCCAATTCGTGACGGCGGCGATTGCTCGTGAACTCCACGCGCACCACAGCTTTATCGACCGACAAAACCAAGGCCTCCACGGAGTTCAAAATAGGCTTCATCTCCCACTGATCCATCCGTTTCCCTTATTATCCTTCTGAGCGTGTGTCTGGTGTCGTGTAGAGATAGCCTGGGACTGGGATCTCCTCCAGCGCGCTTCCTCTTCGTTCTCCGTCTCTTCCTCCTACTCATCATCATGGCGTTCCTTTTCCTTGTCCTCTTCCTCCGTCTCCTCTTATTTCGGCGGTGGACAGAACTCCCTTTAGTAAACCACCCTGCAATGAAAACGGCCTAGGACCGAAACCGACGGACCTGGACCCGCAAAAATGACGGCCGCGACGCCCTCTCGCGAACCGAAAACGTCCAATTCGCTAATCGACGTGTCAGGGTAGGAGGTCGATCAACCTGCGAATATTCCTTTCCTCTCCCTCCCCTCATGTTCTTTCTCCTCCTCCCCTTCCTCTTCCTGATCCTAAACCTCCCTTCATCCACCCTCGCCTCGCTCTCCTCTCTCTCTTCTCTCTCTCTCTCTCTCTCTCTCTTTTTCTTTCATTTCAACTCAACCGCCTCCTGCGGACTCAGGACTTGGGCGAAATCTGTCCCCTCCTCTTTCTCTCGGCTTTCGTTTCAACTGCCTCCTCCTGACTGAAGACTTGGTTTTGAAATCTGGTCCCTCCTCCTCCGGCCCCTCCATCTCCTCCTCATCCTTCTCATCCTTCCGATCCTCCCCCCCAGTGGTTCTAGCGGGGTTCGCGTAGGCAGCTGGATACTAACATTAGCTTCAAGGAGAGGCCTTAAAACGAGAGGTCCGATTGCAGCATCAGTTGGGTGGGGTGTGGGTATTGGGTCTACCTTGGCCTCGCTCCCCGAGTAGCCAGGGGTGGTCTCAACACCCAAATCCTGGGGCGCGGAGCGCCCAAGGGGCGGCGCCGGAGGCGGAGCCGGGGTGTTGAGACCACCCTGGACTACTCGGGGGGCCTGTTGAGGCCAGCTGGGACTCCCTGCGCGCAGTCCGAAGCCTTGACTACCACGAAGTGCTTTCTGGAACCACCCGCGGTCTTCGTCCCCGGGCCGAGTCAAGTTTACCAGCTTGGAGCGTATCCCTTCCCCTAAGATTGACACGCCAAGAGGCGATGACAATCCTCGGGAGCCGCCCTCAAAAGATAAGGGAATCCCCAAGATTGGCACCGCGATGAGGAGGTGCCCAGCATAGGGATAGGGATATGCTCCAGGCTGTTTGGGAGTCGAGCCCCGGGTCTGTCGCCCCGGGGCCGCCCGGATCGGCCCGGGGCCTCCGTCCCCAGGGCGATTCAAACAGCCCTCCCCCCCCCTGCCTGGAGCAGCTCCACGGCCTGCGCCGGTCGGCCGTCGCCCTCTCCCCGAGAGCCGATGATGGGCGTGCCCCCCACGACCACCACCAGAAGTTGTGGGAGGGGGGGGAAGGAGGAGGAGGAGGAGGAGAAGGAGGAGGAGGAGGAGGAGGAGGAGGAGGAGGAGGACCCCCTCCCCCTCCAACTTCTGGTGGCGGTGGTGGAAGGCAGGCCTATCAGCCGACGTGGCGGAGCAGGTGCAGCACCGCGGAGCACCACGAGCCACGAGCGGAGCCCCCGAGGCAGTCCTCTCGTGCGGCCTTTTTATCGGAGGACAGGCCAGAGCGGCCTGCGACGGTCCCCGGGAGCCCGAGACCGGGCCAAAACGCACGGCGCTAGAAGCTTGCAACGCCCGGTGGGACGCTCGTCGTCGCCGTCGCCGTCATCGCCGTCGCCGTCGCCGTCGTCGTCGTCGCCGCCGCCGCCGTCGTCGTCGTCGTCGTCGCCGCCACCGTCGTCGTCGTCGTCGTCGTCGTCGCCGCCGCCACCGTCGTCGTCGTCGTCGTCGTCGTCGTCGTCGTCGTCGTCGTCGTCGTCGTCGTCGTCGTCGTCGTCGTCGTCGTCGTCGTCGTCGTCGTCGTCGTCGTCCCGCGCGCGAGGCCGCCGTTCGCCCCCGGCGCCTCCCGGGGCTTGCGGCTCTTGCTGACCTTGCCGTCGGAGCGCTTCGCCTTGAAGTGCGCCATCACCACCTGGCCAGGCTGCACCTCGACAACTCCCTGGCGACGGGGGGGGGGGGGAGCAGGACAGGGGGGGGAGGGGGAGGGGGAGGGGAGGGGGAGGGAGGAGGAGGAGAGGGGAGGAGGAGGAGGAGGAGGAGGGCGGAGGCGGAGGAGGAGGAGGAGGAGGAGGAGGAGGAGGAGGAGGTAGGAGGAGGAGGGAGGAGGAGGAGGAGGAAGAGGAGGAGGGGGAGGAGGAGGAGGTGGAGGAGGAGGAGGGGAGGAGGAGGAGGAGGAGGCAGAGGAGGAGGAGGAGGAGGAGGAGGAGGAGGAGGAGGAGGAGGAGGAGGCGAGGAGGAGGAGGAGGAGGATGAGGAGGAGGAGGAGGAGGAGGAGGAGGAGTGGGAGGCTTTCCAGAGAGGCTTTCCAAGTGAGGAGAAGGAGGAGGAGGAGGAGGAGGAGGAGGAGGAGGAGGAGGAGGAGGAGGAGGAGGAGAGGGAGCAGGATGAGGATGAGGATGAGGAGGAGGAGGAGGAGGGGAAGAGGGAGAGGGAGGGGGTGAAGGACAGGGGAGGAGGAACAAGAGGAGGACAGAGGAGGGGGGCGAGCTTCCCAAGCAAGCTCAGTTCAAAGTCATCGAGGAGGCCCCCGCGCTGTGCGGGAGGTCATCTGCGAGACGCGCTGCCCAGGCGAGAGCACGGCGGCCGCGCTGGAGGTCAGTGGCAGCCGGAGCGACTCGGGTGCACCCGAGACTCTGCAGGTCAGAACTCGCCCCGTCAGGCCCAGGAAAAGACATGGGGAGCGTTGCATGAGGCGTTCATCATGGGCCACACTAACATTCGGGGCGCCCAGCAGGAGGTCTGGGCCAAGAGCTTGCCAGCGTGGGGTAAGGAGCAAGGCCCGGTTCAAACGCAACCGCCCTTGAGTGTTCAAGATCGGATAGGCCCTCGCTCCATGCACAGGAGGGTACGGGGGGCAGGAGGAGGAGGAGGAGGAGGAGGAGGAGGAAGAGGAGGAGGAGGAAGAGGAGGAGGAGGAGGAGGAGGAGGAGGGGACGGGGAGGCGACGACCTCTCAAGGGCGAGAGAGCTGACCCTAAGGGGGTTGTGCTGTGCTGCGCGTGCTCGCTCACAGCACGGCCACGACTGAGGCAGCCTGGCACGGGCGCCTTCGATCACGACGCCCTGGTGCTCGATCGCTTGTCTCGGCCGTCGACGAAATTGCTCTTCTCCAGGCCCACCACAGCCGCCAGGTGCCTAGCAGAGAGCCTCAAATCAACTATTTGGCATGCCCTGTGGGCGATGGAATCTCGAACGCTGCGACACATGCGGATGTGGAGCTGCCAAGTCAAGCAGGCTGGTTCGCGATCCCCGCCAAGACAGTCGCGATGGGAGGCCCAGAAAAGACAGCCGCCGCCAAAGACGGCCCAGAGAAGATAACAATTCGGACGCAGTCGTGGACAAAACCGTGAAACGCATCCAGCCGATGACCTAGCCAGGGCTTGGACCTCCCAGATCGAGAACAGCCTCGACCCAATGTCAGAGGAGGAGAGCAGGCTGACGATTTGAAGAATCGACACACGCAGGCGACTGCACCAGCTCGCGGCGATGGTAAAAACCATGGCCAAAATTGGGAAGTCCGACGTGCAGACAGAAGACACATGTCATCACTGCAGATATACCTATCTGACTCGAGATCACGACCTGGAGGGGCAGCGAGACACTGATTTCCGTCTCTCACCTGGCCCTGATAAAAAAAAGCAAGGATCATGTTGTCAGACATCCAGCAGAGAGTCGACTCAGTGCATGATGGAGTGCCGAAACTTGCAGACATGATCGACCAGCTAGAGACCACCATCCGACGGCTAGAGACTACAGAGGTGGAAATGCAGCCAACTACTGGATTCGATCATGGACAGCTTCCATCGTGTGTGCAGCCAGTGGGTAAAGGAGCCGGTGGGAGCATGCCCACATTGGGGGGTGAGCAAATCCCAGGATCCCTGCCGCCCAGGGCCACCGCCGCCACCGCCAACCTCAGCGCCGAGAGAGCGCCCAGCAGGCATCGAGCTGTCAAGATGGGAAATGCGACTGGCAAAGGATGGGGAGAACTCCGTGCTACGATTGCTGCGGAGCCAGCTCGTCAGCAGGTGCCTGCCCGGGCTGGAGACGTACTGTCTACGCAGCAGGCGTCGTGCAACATTAGGCCCGGCACTTGACGCCGCTGATGCAGGAGCGGGGCCACCATATGCGGAACATGACGCAACAGTTCAGGCAAGCCACTAAAGGGTCGACCATGATGCAGATGCGCGCGCAGGGAGTCGAGCTACCATCAGAAATGCTCGGCATCATGACAGCTTCCTCGGCAGCCAGCCCGTGTGTATGGGCGCCAGTGACGCCCATAAGGCCACGGCCTCTTGCGACGGTCGACGGCACCCGATCAATGTCTATGGGAATGCCACCGCCTCCGCCCTCGGCAGGTTCAAGTGTCCCTCCGCCGCCCTCACATGCGCAGGTGGCCATCGCGCGAAAGACGCCCGAGAGGAAATCTGCGAAAATAGAATTCAGCGGAATCGGCGCTACCCAGTGACTCGCGGGTGGAGACGGACGAGAGGGACTTCATGGAACTCATTGCTTTAATGGAACTCCCCACCACCCCTGGCGCAGCACGTGCGACGTCAGGGGGGGGGCGGCCCGTCCACCCACCTCCCCAGCATAGGGGGGGGTGCGACGTCCCTGTGGAGGACGGGGCGGGGTGGGCACTGAGGGGCACCGTAGGCCCTTCTAGAACCAAAGGTGAGCACCATACGCCCGCCACCACCAACGGAGGTACACCTTATGTCCTCCACCCTCTATTCCATTCAACATTCAGTGAACCTTTCAATTTGATACTCCGACCTATCTCCAGGAGATGCGTGCGCAGGGCTTTCTGCATGTCGAAATCAAGCTCGAGGCCAAGCAAAGGGACAACTAATTCCTTTATCGATGGTCGGCAATCCATGGCCAAAGCAAGATCGCCGAGAATTTTAAAGTTTGGGGCGCTGCTGCGTGAGCCCCAGTTCACAAGTGAACGGCTGACTGTGCGTGGCTTCTTCCTGGTGAGCTGACCCCAAAGAGACTTGGCTGACTGCGGGTGGCCCCGAATCTCGTTGTTCCCAGGACGTTAAAGAGGGAGTGCCACCAGCAAGACTGCGAAACGATCTGCGGTTGGCCCTTCGATCGGTACTGCACGCGGCCTCCTTCCACTTGCCACCAAGTTTACGCACGACCTCCCACCTGTACAGTCCCCTGGTTCGCGCACGCATCCGTTGGCAGTTAGTCTGACATCTATGCACCAAAAAATGCCAAACCAGTAGAAGGTCAGAAAACATGGCAGACACCATGGTTTGCCGCAGTTTCGCCAGAGGCCCGAAGAGGTACAAAGTACTGATCCCCGTTCATTTTTAGGAAGGAGGTTGAAGCATGCCCGCCTTTGCGGGCATTCATCGGTGCAAACTGGCCCGGGAGGTTTTTCAAGATAGACGATCTAATAGGGCCCATCGACGACCCAAGACGGCCTCAGGGCGGCTCCACGACGGCCGGAAGAGACCGTCCAGACGGCGGGAAAGGCCCCAAGACGGCTCAAGAGAGCCCGAAGACGGCCCAGAGGACCCAAAGGGACCCCAAATACTGCTCTACAGGAGCCCATGGCAACCTCGGGACGGCCCCAATGAGGTCCCAGAAGTGAAGTTGAGAGGTGATACATGTAGTGGCCTTGTCCTTATTTCTCCTCCTGCCCACCATCACCAGCAGCATCCTCACCATCATCGCCATCATTTTTTTCATCGCCCTGCCTATCATCATAGTGGTCATTGTTGCCTTCGTTGTCGTCGTCACCATCGTTCGAATAGCTCCTCCTCCTCCTCCTCCTCCTCCTCCTCCTCCTCCTCCTCATCATCATCATCATCATCATCAGCATCATCATCATCATCATCATCATCATCATCATCATCATCATCATCATATCATCATCATCATCATCAGCATCATCATCATCATCATCAGCATCATCATCATCATCAGCATCATCATCCTCATCCTCAGCATCCTCCTCCTCATCATCATCAGCATCAGCGTCATCAGCAGCAGCATCAAGATCATCAGCATCATCATCATTATCATCACCAGAATCATGATCATCATCATCAGCAGCATCAGCATTAGCATCATCATCATCAGCATCATCAGCATCAGCATCATCATCATCATAATCATCATCAGCATGATCAACATCATCATAATCATCATCATAATCATCATAATAATCATCATCAGAATCATCATCATCATCAGCATCATAATCCTCGACTTCATCATCAGCATCATCATCATCAGCATCATCATCAGCATCATCATCATCATCCTCATCCTCATCCTCATCCTCATCCTCCTTTGGAAGCCTTCAAGAGCTCTAGTGGCATCTGGAGACCTGTCAATGCTTGGCATTGCCGTGCACTAATTGGCATCAATTGACGTTGATTTGTATCTCTTTGCGTGGTCACGACGGAATGTGCCTCGCTAGCCTTGTTAGCGGTGACCTGGCAGTCAGATTCGGGCGTGTCAGGAGGAGGAGGAGGAGGAGAAAGAGGAGGGAGACTCAAATCCCATCAGCCCTCTGGGCGCAGGTGGTCGAACGATGTCTTTCCTTCCTCTTTCAAGACCCCCTTCTTCCCCCTCGGGAAGGGGGGGACCTGGACGGGGGGGGGGTCGCAACATGTCAGAGGGTCCTTTTTCGCCCAAGATGGCTCCACGAGGGCCTCAGAGAGCCCAAGATAGCCTCCAAGATCGCTCAAGATAGCCCAGCATGGCTCAAGATAGCTAACACCATGCCTCCAAGAGGCTCCAAGAGGGCCACAAGACGGTTCCAGGTCCTTTTGGCGATCCCTCAGGACCTTCCCGAGAAGCCAACATCCTTGAAAAACCAACGAACAATCACTGATGTTTGCCTTCTTGCCTTTTCGCTTCCGATGCGCCTTCGAGGCCTCAAGATGACCCCAATATGGCCCGAGAGAGCTCCAAGAAGAACCCAAGGTGCCCCAAAGACTGCCCCAAGAGCGCCCAAGATCGCCCGAAGAGGGCCCCAAGAGCGCCCCAAGAGGCTACTTCGATGGCCCCAGAGGGGGGACGCAAATCGAGGACCCCCCCTCATTCGATAGATGGTTCCCAAGATGGCCCCAGGAGGCGCTGAATAGCTCCCAGGAGGGCCCCAAGAGAGCCCCAAAGAGGGCCCCATAAGGGTTCCATGGCGACCCAAAAGAGCCCCAAGAGGACCGCAAGACCCCAAGATGCCCCAAAAGAGTTCGGGGCCCTGGGGATGGCCCGACGAGGCCCTCCAAGGCCACTCCTTTGCTCCCTGAGATCTCTCTTGTTCACTTCGGTTGTCCGCTTTGTTTCACTATCTGTGTCTCTTCGTCCCCTTTCCCGTCAGCTCTCATGGGCAAGGCTCCTGAATGGGCTGGTGGGGATTCGCGAAGCGTAATCAATAAAACGAGGAGAGGCCCCCAAGACGCCCCAAGAGGCGCCCAAGAGGCCCAAAAGAGGCCCCCAAGAGGCCCCAAAACGGCCCCCAAGAGGCCCCAAAACTCGGCTAGCCCACAACGGTGCGACAATATGGGCCGGCGGAATGAGCGAAGCGATTAAATAAAACGAGGAGCCAGCGACAGAAGAAAAGGAGGAGGGGGCAATACACTCCCAGGCGTTGCGATGCGCAGGCGGAGGAAGGCGAGAATGAGATGCACTCCGCTCCGCACGACCCAGAGAGCCCATCGCTCCGCACTGCCCGCCACTGCGCAGCACGGCCGAGGGATCTGCGCTGCTTGGCATTGATTCGGGTCGGGCGAAAGGGGGGGATAGCAAAGGGGGGGTTTGAAAATCAGCTCACGTAGCTGATTTTCCCGGCGCCTCCTGGCGCCGGAGGCGGCTATGTATCGAGGAATGGGCCCCTCGGTGAGGCCGAAACCAGCTGCATGCAGAAAATTTCGTAACCCCCCCTTTCCCGATCCCCCCCTTTCGCCCGGCCCGATTGATGGACGTCGCTTGGCATTGCTTGGGAACGCACGGCGACTGGGCCCAGACGCGCCACTTGTCACCGCAGGCTGGGCACTCAGACCTGAGCCCGTCACGCGCTACTGGCACTTCTATGGTACGCACTGCTTGGCATTGAACGGCACTGCCTTTGCCTTGTTTGGCGTTGCTTGGAATTGCGTAGGGGTGGCAACCTGAAAACAAGACCGAACACGAGACCGAGGACACCGAGGGCCGCAGCAATGAAACAAGACGAAGAAATCCGATAAACTCGGCATGGAACCAAGACCAATGATGTTCCTGACAATGTTGAATATCTGTTGAACTCTCGTTCTCTCCGGCCCATGAATGAAGGGGCCCCAGGACACACAAATAAATACACACAAATAAAAAGATGCCCCATATTTTCCCATATTTTCTGGCTTTCTGTCTTCAACCCCACTTCCCATATTTTCCCATATTTCCCTGGGAATCGAAGATTAATTGTGTCTGTGTGTTTTTTCCTCTCCTGAATGAAAACCAAAGACGCCCCAAGAGTCCACCGATATCCGCCGGCCCCCCTGTGGGGCCACCGGGCTGCAGGCCCGTGATTCGCGGTTTCCTGCACCAGTCGTAGGTTGTAGTTTCCAGTTTTACAGTTCTGCTTCTTGCTGGTTACTGTAACTACGTAGTTGACTTATTGCTGGTTACTGTAACTAGTTGATTGACCGCGCGAGGGGGGGGGGGGCCCAAAGTGGCTTTTCAGCGTCCCCTGGGCGCGTTGTCTGAATTGCTGGGGGGGCTCGAAATCGACACCCCTCACGCAGATCCGCGGGGTCAGGGTCCAAAAACACAAGGGATTTGCCACATTTCTGAAATTCGGTGCCACCCCTCACGCAGATCCACGGGGTCAGGGTCCAAAAACACAAGGGATTTGCCACATTTGTGAAATTCGGTGCCACCCCTCACGCAGATCCACGGGGTCAGGGTCCAAAAACACAAGGGATTTGCCACATTTCTGAAATTCGGTGCCACCCCTCACGCAGATCCGCGGGGTCAGGGTCCAAAAACACATGGGATTTGCCACATTTCTGAAATTCGGTGCCACCCCTCACGCAGATCCGCGGGGTCAGGGTCCAAAAACACAAGGGATTTGCCACATTTCTGAAATTCGGTGCCACCCCTCACGCAGATCCGCGGGGTCAGGGTCCAAAAACACATGGGATTTGCCACATTTCTGAAATTCGGTGCCACCCCTCACGCAGATCCGCGGGGTCAGGGTCCAAAAACACATGGGATTTGCCACATTTCTGAAATTCGGTGCCACCCCTCACGCAGATCCGCGGGGTCAGGGTCCAAAAACATAGGGGATTTGCCACATTTCTGAAATTCGGTGCCACCCTTCACGCACATCCATCGCAAGGCGTGGTAACCCAAACTGCGAGAACTCCCTCGGCCCTTTAATCGCAAGGTGTGGTAACCAAGCCCGTAAACCATACACGTCTTACCAATCGCCAGGTGTGGTAACCCCTCTTGTGATCAGTTGGTTTTGCTGATTGCGAATCGGCTTCGCATGAAGTTTCGATACTGCTTCACGACAGCGCCAAGGCATCATGACCTAGCTCTTCCATGGCCCATTCTCCGAGAGAGGCGGCCGGCGGCAGGGGGCGAAGCCCTTACGGATCACCCAAAGACGGCCCAAAAGACGGCGCAAGAGGCCCCCACGAGGTCCCTAAGATTTCCCAGGAGACTTCCAACATCGCGCTAAAGCGCTGTGACATTGGCACCCCTCACGCCCTGTTCATTAACTTGATCGTGTGCTCCCTATTCTCATCTACGCGTGCTCACTTCCCCCGTCGCTCTTTCTCTCTCTCTCTCTCTTTCCCTGTCGTCGTCGTCGCCGCCGCCGCCGCCGATGCTCCCGCCGCCGCCGATGCCGCCGCAGGCGCCGCCGTCGCCTCTCCTCTCTCCGTCGCCGCTCTCTCCCTGTCCCTCTACGCTGTTTACGGTTGCCTCCAGGTAAGCTGCGCCCTACTTTGCTTGAGTAGTCACTCTCTACTCTCCCAGCTCCAATGTTCCGCACCCTCGGATATGTATTTCTTGCTCTCGACTATACACTCTCTCATTCTGACCGCTGCTGCAAAGATTCGGGAACCTTGTATTCCCCAACATCTATCATCCACTCGCAACTCGCTGACCCCTCTACTTTCTACTATCGAAGCCCTGGGGCACTTGGCCACAACCAACACTTCCACAACCCTGGGACCTGACGCTGCCAAGAACCCCCAAAAAGAACCTGGAACCCCGGGGCCCTGGATGCCGACGGAAACCTGACATTGCCAGGAACGCCGGAACCGAAAAACAGCAACCCGGGCTCCAACCGAAATCGGCGCCGAATATTCGCCTGGTTTTTCAACATCCGCTAAGACCCCTTCAGTGAAAGCACTGATGGGGAAATGCAGCGCCCCCCCCAGGGCACTGCGCCGCTACCACCACCACCCATCATGCCAGAGCACGCAGGCTGGAAAGAAACGTCGACTGGCCAAGTGCACCTGTGGACGGGGCACGCCCATCGTATCGACCACGTCGCTGCTGCCCTGCGGCGGGACGCCGTGGCATGCAACTTGTTCAAAACCCTGCGTGGCTAAACTCAAATTTGAGCAGGGACCGACCGTCCCGGCATTCCTACAGTCCTACCACGAAATGTCCTTAGAGCCCAAAAATGCTCTCAGAACAAAAACCATGTTCTTAGAACATAAGCCCGATGGGGTGATACAACAAGACAGACTCCGCCAGAAATGCTCTAAGAACATTTCGTGGAAACCACACAAAAGGTTCTTAGAACATTGCTTGGTAGGACTACAGGCACGCCAGGACGCTTCGCCGCTGCTCGACACATGGCCCTGGCTGTGGCGGGCAGCTCGCACGAAACGTGTGGTTGAAGGGGCCCTGGGACACACAAATAAATACACACAAGTAAAAGGATTCCCCATGTGTTTCCATATTTGTTTGACTTTCGTCTTCCCCCCCACTTCCCATATTTTCGCATATTTTCCTGGGGATCGATTAATTGTGTCTGTGTGTTTTGTTTTCCTCCTGAGTGGTCCTCTTCAACTGTGTCGCAAACGTCTCCACGGGCTGCCGGCTCATACCGCAGCATTGCGTTCTCCCGCTGCTGGAGCTCGTCCCGCAAGCCCTTGGGCCACGGCCACGTCCAGGTCCCCGCACCGTGCAGTGCCACAACGTGGACTCTCCTGACGACATCTGCGATGCCACCGGCAAGTTCAAGGACTTCTTCAACAAGGCCGGGCTATATTTCAAAAAACCTGCAAAATGACCTTGCCCAGCCGACGCCACACGGGCGGCATAGCATTGCCGTCCCTTGGAGGGATCGCTCCGAACGCCCGCACCGTCTCAACTACTTTCTGTGGCCACAGTCTCATCCCCCACTGCCAGATGTGGAAAGTCTCCGTTGCACCAAGCTCAGAAGTGTCGTGCTGCAGGGAGTCTGGCTGTCAACGCAACTTGAAAAACATGATGATACAGGTGGAATCTTGCAACCTGATTCGTACGTGCTCCGCCGAATGTGCGCAATCTAATATAAGTTGTCTGCCCAGACAACGCACTGCGTCAGACCCGAGATGGGCAAGGTGACACCATAGCCAACAATATTCCATTTGTCCGGGCATCGGTCCAGCGCGTGACGATGGACACGGCTACACTCCCACAAGATTTCTTTCCTCCCTTGGCGAACTGACCGGCTAAACTCTTCCTCCTCTTCCCTCCACATCCCTCCCCCCTCCACCTGCTACAACGTAGAAAACCTTCGAACGACGACGACTTCGACGACAACAACGACGGCGGCCCTGTGCCACCCTGTAGTTATGGCCGGCTGGCCTCCTTGTTGCCAATGGGGACCCCCGTCTGCTCGGACAGATACCCCATGCCATCAAGTCGCCTCGGATGTAGCACAGGTAAACATGCAAATGGTGATGCTGAGGATGCCGATGGTGACGATGACGTGCCAGGGGCTGTGCTGCGCTGCGCTGTGCCTCATGTTGAACTGTGCTGTTTAATGATGTGTTGTACTGTGCTGTGCAATATTGCGTTGAGGATCAAGTCATTCGTGGCGCCCGAATGCAAACCGAAGTGACGAGGACCGGCGGCTCGAGATGCTCGAACGCGGTTGCATGCGGAGCCTGCGGGGCGCTCAACAAGCTCGACTTGATACGGACGTGTTTGGGACGCGCCACGGGACGTACCAAGGGACGTGCCAGGGGACGCGTCAGGGGACGAGCCATGAACATGCCAGGGGACGTCCTTCGGGACGCGCCAGGGAACGCGCCAACGGACGCGCCAGGGGACGTGCCAAGTGACACGCCAACAGGCACGCCACGAAACGCAGAGACGCGCCAGGGGACGAGCCCGGGGAGGCGCCACGGGGCAGCAGCTGAGCTCGGCCAGGGAAACATCGGCTGGCTGGACTCGGCCCAGGGAACTCTGCCACTCTGCACCCGGCCGGCTGGACTCGGCCAGTAGTCTGAACTCGGCCAGAGAAAAACTCGGGCAGGTTGAACTCGGCCCAGCTGAACTCGACCAGCGGGAAGCGAAATTCGGCCCTTTGAACTCGGCCAGCGCTCTGGCTGCAGCGTGAGCACCGGATGAACCCGGCCGCAGAAGCGCGTCTGGAAAACTGGGCCAGAGAAACTCAGCCGGAGAAGCTCGGCTAGGAAAAGCTCGGCCGGAGAAACTCGGCCACACTGAGCTCTCAAGGACAAATCACCCACGAAATCAGTTCCCGAGCTCCAACACGAATGTCAGCTGTTTCGTTTGCGCGATCTATTCACAGTGTGGCGGCTGGGTCTACGAGGGTCTACTCTGGCACAGCCCAGAAACCCAGTACCCAGTGCAACCCAGTACCCATGTGACAGAAGTTGCGCTTGGAGCGCAATGGGTCATGGAGGCGCGGCGACACCTAGCCAGTTGCCGCGCTCACCCGAGACCGGCGCAGAGGCAGATGCAGGAGCAACCGTCGCAGTCCTCGTTTCATGGGCCCGGCCCCGATGGAGTGCCTCCCTTATGCACCACCTCCTCCTCCTCCTCCTCCTCCTCCTCCTCCTTCTCCTCCTCCTTCTGCGATCATGAGCCGATCCCGCTCGACGAGCGAGGAACCTTCTGCCCAGCATGGAGAACGGCAAGGAAGAAACGGAGACGAGAGAACAGGCGCCTCGTCGGCACTCTTTTTGCGAGCTCGAGACGGAGGAGGAGGAGGAGGAGGAGGAGGAGGAGGAGGAGGAGGAGGAGGAGGAGCTAAGCTCGAGGAGGAGGAGGAGGAAGAGGAGGAGGAGGTCGCCCCGTGGCAAAGGAAAGAAGAGGGAAGCAGTAGGGGAGGGAGAAGCAAGAGGAGAAGCAGCAGGCAGCGGTGCAAGAAGGCGCCTCGTCGCACACGTCGCTGCACCACCCACGGCAGGAGGAGGGGCGTGACGGCACGGACCAGTGCAAGCTGCAAGTGCGCGCGGAGCGCGCCAGGGGCGGCGCCGGAGGCGCCGCGGGTGGGCCCCAGCGCCGATCCGAGAAATCCGCGCGGACCTCCGAGTTTTTATGTTCATGCCACGTTTTGTTCCCCTAATTGGACCCCCTCTTCCCGTGCCCAGTCCGTCCGTGCAGGACCTCGCGCCGTCCCACGCCGCGTCCGTGGCCGCGCGGGGCCTCTGCGTGGCTGCGACCATTTTTGTTAGAACCCCAAAACCAATTCAATTCACGAATGGTATGGTATTGTATGGGTCGTTCGGTATGGTAGTGTTCGGTATTGTGTGGTATGTATGGTATGATATGGTGTGGTATGGCATGGTGGGTATGGTATGGCATGGTATGGTTTGATAGTGTGTGGTATGGTATGGTATGGTATGGTATGGTATGGTATGGTATGGTATGGTATGGTATGGTAGGTATGGTATGGAATGGTCGGCATGGTATGATATGAGAAGCTGGAATGGTAGGCATGGCATTGATATGGGAGGCGGGAGGCGGGAGGGAGAAGGAGAGGATGTTCTGGGAAAACAAGAACCCCACTCAGGATGTGGGGAATTAAATTCACGAATGCAGTACCCACTCTTCCCGTGCCCATTTCGCTCGTGCCGAGCCTCGCGACGCACCGCGTCGCGTCCGTGCGGCCACGCGCGGCCGCTCCGCCCGGCCGAGAACGCCGCGGCGCCCGCGGCGCCATGAGGCTCCCCGCGGGCGAGGCGGCGGCGGCGGCCGAGCAGCTCGGGGGAAGGCGAGGGCGACGGTCGGGGGCTGCTAGACTTACGTCGGGCCTGTCCCCCACAGGCCGATGCTGGGCGAAGCATAAAAAATAGTCAAACCATACCCCCACATGGTCCAAAAATACAATCAACAAAAAAAAGAAGCCCCCTGACTATTTTTGAAGATCCCTCCTATGGAGGGACAGGCCCCACTGAATGCTGGATGTGCCCCTGGCCCACGGTGCCCTCCAGGATTTCCGAGCCCCGCGGCCCCCAGAGCACTCCTCACGAGGCCCAGGGGGCCCGAGGGGCTGCAGGGTGAAGCGAAAAGCTGGGAGGGCCTTGGGCCAGGGGGACCTTTTAGCAACCCCCGAGACAGAGAGGGGCGAGGATCTGACAGAGGGCGGAGGGATGGAGGTCCGCGCGCCACTGCACGCTGCAGCCCCTTCCGGTAGATCTTCGGGTGGTGCCTCGCCGCGTCGTGCCGCTTCTCCATGCGCGCGGCGTGGGCGTCCGGGGCACCTTGGCTGGGGCGTGCTTGCAGAGCAGTTCTATGTTCCTCGTCGAGGTGCCACACCTGCAGACTACTTTGCGCATAGTGGTACCAGACTGCCGAGTAGTACTGCGTATCGTAGTCGCACTGCGTATAATAATACTGCGTATGGTGCTGTGCCCCCTCAGCGAGCGCCAAGCCCACTGGCGCTGGCGTGCGCTCACGTGTGCGGCCAGAGTGGGTGAGGAGGGCGTCGTGGGTGATCGGCTCAGGGTCGAACTCTGTCTGGATGGCGTCGGCGTTGGACTGCACGTCCCTAGGTTGCATGCTCGCGTGCGTGGGCTTCATCTGCGCGTTGCCGCCCGTGTAGCCGACCGTGAGCTTCAGGACCCCGCCCATCGCGTCAAACATCCTCCCCGACGACCAGAAACAGCCCGTCGAGAAGCGGCACCTCCACGCGGCCGCGGCCGGCGCAGGGCACGCCCGAGCTGATCGGACCCAGGGCATGGTCCTCCTCCTCGAGCCGCTGCAACGCCTCGACGGCGGCGAGCTGGGCCCGCTCCACTTCCTCCTGCGAGTCGTCCTTCGGGCGGAAGGTGGGCTGCTTAGAGGTGCATTTGTCTGGGCCATTTCGCATCCGGTACTGAACACGCCACGCCTGTCTTGTTCTATCCCAGTCTATGTGCTGGACGCCGCTATGGCGCTCCGCGCTGTACTGGCCCGAGCTGTTAGGTGCGAGCGCGCGGTCCTCCTCCTGGAGCCCCCGCAGCGCCTGGACGGCGGCGAGCCGCGCCCGCTCCAGCTCCTCCGGCGAACCGTCCTTCGGGCGGAAGGTGGGCTGTTTCCTGGTGCCTTTGTCTGGGCCGTTCTTCATCACGTATCTCACGCACCACGCCTGCTTCTTGCTGACCCAGTGTATGTACTTGACGCCGCTCTGGCGCTCCGCACTGTACTGGCCCGAGCTGATCGGCCCGAGCGCGCGGTCCTCCTCCTGCAGCCCCCGCAGCGCCTCGACGGCGGCGAGCCGCGCCCGCTCCACCTCCTCCGGCGACCCGTCCTTCGGGCGGAAGCTGGGCTGCTTCCAGGTGCCTTTGGCTGGACCGTTCCGCATCCGGTACTTCACACGCCACACTTGCTTTGATCCATACCAGTGTATGTGCTTGACGCCGCTATCAGGGGGCCGCATGCGAACCCTGCCCCTACCCCCCACGACTTCCGAGGGGGAGGGTGGGGTTCACTTCGCTCGGGAGCTTCCGAACGAAGTGAACCCCACCCTCCCCCTCAGAAATCGTGGGGGGTAGGGGTAGGGTTCGCTTGTGGCCCCCGAGCTATGGCGCTCCGCGCGGTACAGGCCCGAGCTGATCGGGGCGAGCGCGCGGTCCTCCTCCTGCAGACGACACAGCGCCTCGGCGGAGGCGGGCCGCGCCTGCGCCACCTCCTCCGGCAGCCCGTCCTGCGGGCGGAGGGTGCGCTGCTTCGTGGTGCCTTCGTCGGGGCCGTCCTTTAGGGGGCCACGTGCGAACCCTACCCCTACCCCCCACGACTTCTGAGGGGGAGGGTGGGGTTCACTTCGCTCGGGAGCTCCCGCACAAAGTGAACCCCACCCTCCCTCTCAGGAATCTTTGGGGGTAGGGGTAGGGTTCCCACGTGGCCCCCTATCCTTCATCACGTATCTCGCGTGCTGGACGCCGCTCTGGCATTCCGCGCTCGGTCGTCCCGAGGTGCTCGGCCCGAGCGCGCGGTCCTCCTCCTGGAGCCCCCGCAACGCCTCGACGGCGGCAAGCCGCGCCCGCTCCACCTCCTCCGGCGACCCGTCCTTCGGGCAGAAGGTGCGCTGCTTCGCAGTGCCTTCGTCTGGGCCGGTCTTCATCACGTATCTCACACGCCAGGTCTGTCTCTTGCTGACCCAGTGAACGTACTTGACGCCGCTCTGGCGCTCAGCAGGGTCGTGCCTGCCAGCGCGGGCCTGCCCGAGCAGGTCCTCCTCCTCGAGCCGCCGCAGCGCCTCGACGGCGGCGAGCCGCGCCCGCTCCACCTCCTCCGGCGACTCGTCCTTCGGGCGGAAGGTGGGCTGCTTGATGCGACCTTGATCCGGGCCGTTCCGTATCCCGTACTTAACACGCCACGCCTGTCTTGTTCTGGCCCAGTGCATGTGTCCAGCCGCAGGAGCCGCCGCGTCGCGGCCGGGGCTGGCGGCCGCAGCCCGC